ACACTTGCGGCTCTTGGGTTTGCTCCCTCTACTACTGACCCGTCGCTGTTTCTACGCACCGACACCTCTTTGCCGCCGTTCTACATCCTCGTGTACGTCGACGACTTGGTCTTTGCCACAGCTGACACTGCTGGACTCGCCCACGTGAAGTCCGAGCTGCAGAAGAGACACACGTGCACAGACCTGGGTGAACTGCGCAGCTACCTTGGCTTGCAGATCACCCGGGACAGAGCACGCCGCACCATTACCCTGACTCAGTCACACATGGTGCAGCAAGTCCTAAAGCGCTTCGGCTTCACGTACTCCTCGCCTCAGGCCACTCCTCTGTCTACTCGCCACTCGCTCTCAGCTCTGCCTTCGGATGAGTCCGTAGAGTCGAGTGGCCCGTACCCAGAGCTTGTTGGCTGCCTCATGTACCTGATGACCTGCACACGACCTGACCTTGCATACCCTCTTAGCATTCTTGCACGCTATGTTGCTCCTGGGAGACACCGACCAGAGCACATGGCTGCAGCGAAGAGGGTGTTGCGCTACTTGTGCAGTACGTCGGGCATGGGGCTAGTGCTTGGAGGGCGGAGTCCTGTGGTCCTCACTCGGCACGCGGACGCTTCTTGGGCAGACGACCAGGCTACGCAGCGGTCGTCACAGGGTTACACCTTCAGCCTTGGTTCCGGCTCTGTTTCGTGGCGGGCTACTCGCTCGTCTTCTGTTCTCGGCTCCAGTTGTGAGGCTGAGATCTACGCCGGGGCCATGGCGGCACAGGAGCTTCGCTGGCTTACCTACCTGCTGATTGACCTCGGAGAGCCGCCTCGTTCTCCTCCGGTGCTGTACGTAGACAACAAGGCCATGCTAGCTCTGTGTCGGGAGCAGCGCCTGGAGCACAGAACGAAGCACATTGCTCTCCGCTACTTTCTTGCTCGTGAGTTGCAGCAGCGTGGTCAGTTGCGACTTGCGTACGTGGCCTCTGAGACCAACACTGCTGATGTTTTCACCAAGGCACTTCCGCCTTGTGATCATCAGCGCTTCTGCACTCAGCTGGGTCTTGTGCCTGTCTTGCCTCACTTGCTCACCCCTTGACCTTGCTTGTACTCTCACATATATATATACCTGCTCTTGCTTGTTTAGCCTTATATATATATGTGTACTCCTGCATGTGAACTGGCCTTGTGGCCTTGACCTTGTGCTCGGACTGTGTGGTGACGTTGTGATCCACCTTGAGCTTTGTCTGCTTTGCTTGACTGGTCTTGTGACCGCTTGTTCTCCCCCACTTTGCCTATGGGGGTGTGTCAAATTATCATATTGTGTAGGCTATAGTGGAGTAGCCTATATGGGGTACACATTTCTAGGGTTGCATATTTGTATCACTTCCACTCCTTAGTCATTCATTCTCGTTCACATTTTCTCATACAGCGTCGTACAAGGTCTGAGCACTCTTGTACTGACTAAAGTGCGCACGCTCGGAGGTAGGGAGGTGGCGACGCACAGCAAGATGTGCAGCAGCGTCGCGCGTGGCCCACTGGGAGCGAATAGTGGCGTCAGCATCAGCAGAAGGGGCAGGGGAAGCGCCACAGGTAAGGTCAAAGAGAGAGAGGCCGTCTGCGCTATCGCACTGTAAGAACAGCTGCAGGTCATCAACCCAGACCTCAAAGTCAATGGCCCGACCCTCAGCGTCAAAACCGAGGACACTAGGGGTAGCCATGATTACAGACGACTAGGAGTGCAAACAGTAGGGTGAGGGCAGTGTAGTGAAAGAGGCGCTGTGCTCACCAGACTGGGCAGCTCGGGCGGTCCAGAAGTAGGGCGGCTCGGCGGCTCGGCGGCTCGGCGGCTCGGCTGGTCGGCGGCTCAGCTGCTGGGCGGCATTGCTGCTGGGCGGCTCGGCTGCTGGGCGGCTTGGCTGCTGGGCGGCTCGGCTGCTGGGCGGCTCGGCCGCTGGGCGGCTCGGCCGCTGGGCGGCTCGGTTGCTCTGCCGCTGGGCGGCTCGGTTTTGCTGCTGCAGGGCGGCGCGGCGGTCGGTTGCTCGGCCAGGTGAAACAGCTCGGGCGGCTCGGGTGGCGGGCGGCGCTGCAGCAGGTGACGGGGCCGAGAGTAAAGGCGGCGGGGCCGCAGTTAGGGCGGCGGGGCCGCAGGTAGGGAGGCAGGGCCGCAGGTAGGGCGGCGGGGCCGCAGGTAGGGTAAGACGGCGGAGCCACGGTAGGGTGGCGGGGCCCCAGGTAAGGCGGCGCACGGGCCGGTACGGGCGGCGACGGGCCGGAACAGGCGGCGCACGGGCGGCGACGAGCCAGGACGGGCGGCGACGGGCCGGGGTGGGCAGCGCACGGGCGGCGACGGGTCGGGAAAGCGGCGCGGGGCCGGGACGGGCGGCGCACGGGCGTCGACGGGTCGGGGTGGGCGGCGAAAGGGCGGCGCCGGGCCGCGTAGGGTGGCGACGGGCCGCTAAGGGCGGCGACGGCCAAGCAAGGGCGGCGGAAGGGAGGTCGCTAGGGGCGACGCGACAGGGCCGAAGGAGGCCTAAGCGAGGCGCGCTCTGGGCAGAAAAAAAAAAAAAAAATCGATTGTGGTGGGCCCTAAGAACCGTTCCCACGAGGGAACCTGCTCGATACCATGTGGAAATAGAAACGAGAATGAATGAACTATGAATGAAGTGGGTACAAGTACTAACCCTAATTGGGTTGTACCCCCTATGGGATACCCCACTACAGACTACACAAAAGTATAAGCTATAATGTTCTAACAGGCGTTTCCCTACCTCTGAGACTCCCTCCCCTGCTCTGCTCCCCGGCGCCTCAGCTCCTCTGGGCATTCGCTCTTGCGATGGCCCGGCCGGCGTGTACAGTGGCGTGCTCGGTCGGTCCCCGAGGGCGATGTCCGTAGTAGGACCCCGGTCTCGGTCGGCGTAGAATGTCGATTTTCTCGGCGAGCGCGAGAATCTCGTTGAAGTTGGAGAGTCCGCGCAGCATGATTTCGTGCGAGATATCCGGCTTCAGCCCTCCGACGTAACGGTCCACCCGCTCCGCTTCGTGCATGTAGCCGACCTGCTCGCAAAGTGCGAGAAAACCGCTCGTATAATCTTGAACCGACCCGAGCTGCCGCCAAGTGCGCAGTCTCTGACGCGCCGAAATGGAAGCCGCAATCAGCTCGAAGCGCGCCCGAAGCCCTGCGCACCACGCATCCCACGTGCTGTATTGGGCGGTCTCGCAGAACGAACTCTAGGTGACAGCTGGACCCGTGGGCCCTTCCTCGTGCGACGGTGGCTCGTAGGCGCGTGGTGACGTCACGATGACTCGCCACCAGTCCATGGCGGGGCCCCTTAGCAGCGAAACTGCATACCGAATCTTCGCGGCGTCCGACTCGACGTAGTTCGCGTCGAAGAAGACGTTCATCGTGAAGACCCACGATTGAACCGTCGGACCTCCACGTTGGCTTGGGTCGAAGCAGGGCGGGTGTTGTGGCTTGAGCGGCATTGGTGCCATAATGGCCTGTTCGCCACTTGTCGCCGCGAATTCCACGTGCTGACGGGCTTCACGGGGCTTCCGCGGGCTTGGTACGACCCCGCTTCCTCCCATGCCAGGCATCGGCTTGGCGACGCCATCACTGGCTGCGCTTGAGCGTTGTCCCATGCTCTCGTGTTGCGTTGGTGTGCCGGACGAAATTATGATCGGCTCGTCCGATTGTGCAGATGCATTTGGCAGTGCGTGTGATGTCGCTGGAATATTCACCGTGGATTGTTGACGGGCGGAGTCATGTTCCGCCGTGAGCGTCGCGATTTCGAGCGCCGAGTCTTCAAGTTGGCGCACGAGACGATCAAGCTGCTCCTGCGTCAATGTGGCGAGCGTGAAATCGGCCATGGCGGGGGTGTCAGGCGAGCTCAGCGAGAGCCTCGGTCGTGGCCGTGCGTGCTTACGAGAGAGCACTACGAGCGGCGGTGCTATATCGCTGAGAGACGTCTACCCCCCCCCAAAAGTTGAGATAGTGGGGAAGCGAAAATGTGGGTGCGGTCCGAGAGGAGATCGTAGGCTCTGAATACCAAGTGTTACGAGTGCAATTGAGTAAGTGAACGAGAATTGCACTATCGAAGCAAAAAATACAATGAGCGAAGGCATGAGCGAAGAATATATAGCGAAACTATAGTGGTAACGGTAATGGACTGTGGTTGTCGCGTGACGGGCCTGGGACTGAGGTTTGGGAAAGTGTCGAAGCGGAGGCCCGGAGCGCGGGTTACCAGCTGAGCCGTGAGGTTGGGGTGCGATGTGCGAAAATGGCGGGCTGATTGTCGATGCGAGGGTCGCGAGTGGTAACGGTGTTGACTGTGGTGCTATAGTGATGTACGCGTTGAGCAGGGATGCGAAGTAAGGAAAAATGATTTTCCTTACAATGTCTAAGGACTTCATCGCTGGCTACGATAAGCAGAAAACAACCCACTCTGTAAAACAGAGATACAGAGATCAATTTATGTTCAGGCAGAATATGAAATGCAGAATAGCGTACCAGCTATGAAGTGCTTGGTGGCATATGGCAGTGCTGAGAAGGGCCTCGCATAAACTGGGGTGGGGGGGATAAAAAGGAATGCACCTGGTTTGATCCATAAAATCCATGTATATTTATCAAATGTTACACAATTATCTGGCTTTGTTTCATTCCTTCACAAGTGGCACAGGGAGTGGAGAAACATTCCAAAAAGAGTACACACATGGTATAAGACGTAAAATTTCGCTCCCAGGTGGGCTTGAACCACCGACCTTATGGTTAACAGCCATACGCTCTAACCAACTGAGCTACGAGAGCTGTGCATGTTAAATCTTATTATTATAATAATTAGTTCTAAACTTTTACCATAGATTAATCTTCTCTGCAGATCCACCCACATTACTAGCAACCAACATACGGTAGGCATCATAAGAAAATCATGTCTAACCCGAAGGGCAATACTGGTACCATTTCTATCTACAGTAACACATACCAAACGTGTGCAGTACTCAAAACAGATGCGACAACCAGGATCAACACCGAAGCATAGCACAGACTGCACCAGGTGTCTCATACGGCATGTCCGGCAGCCGCCGCCAAACCAAACCTCCCCGAGCCTCGGCCTCAGGTTCGTACATGAGGGCCAGGGCGCCGAACCTATATCCCACCATGCTGACCGCACCAATCGCCACTCCAGCCACCCCTCGGCCCCTTCCTCCTCTCCCTCCTCCCCTCCCTCCTCTCCCCCCCACTCCCCCTCTCCCTCCTCCAACATTCCCTCTCCCTGCCCTGCCTCCTACCCCTCTCCCACCACCTCTCCCTCCCGTTCCTCCTCTTGCTCCTCTTCCTCTTCCCCTTTCCCTCGGACCTTCATGCGGCAACTCCCTTGTAGGCTCAGGCTCAGGTACGGGCTCAGGTGTTGGCTCAGGTGCAGTCTCAGGTGCGGTCTCAGGTGCAGTCTCAGGTGCAGTCTCAGGTGCGGTCTCAGGTGCAGTCTCAGGTGCAGTCTCAGGTGCAGTCTCAGGTGCGGTCTCAGGTGCGGTCTCAGGTGCAGTCTCAGGTGCAGTCTCAGGTGCGGTCTCAGGTGCAGTCTCAGGTGCGGTCTCAGGTGCAGTCTCAGGTGCAGTCTCAGGTGCTGGCTCATCATTGTCAGTGTTACCTTCTGCTACCTCTCCTGCCTCCTCACCTGCTTCCTCTCCCCCTGCCTCTTCTGCTGCCCCACCTATAGATCCTTCTCCTGCCTCTCCCCCTGCTCCTTCTGCTGCCAATCTCCCTGCTCCTTCTGCTGCCCCTCCTGTTGCTTCCCCTGTCACATCGCCTGTTACCTCTTCTGCTCCTTCTGCTTCTACCTCCCTTGTTGTTTCCTCCACTGCCCCTCCAGCCTCCCCCTCTGCCGTCCCTCCTGCCGTCACTCCTGCTCCCTCTCCTACCGCCTCTGCCCCTCTTTCGCCTCTTCTTCCCCCACCCCTCGCCCCCTCTCCCCCACCTCTCCCTCCCTCCCCTCCCCTCCTCCCCTCACGCATCCCAGCAGCAAAAGAAGCGACTCCCATGTCTTCACACGTGCCTCGCACCTGCACTACCAGCACCCTGGTTCGCGTGGCAACGCACCTAAACGACACTTTGCTAAGTATCATCGGGTCGGCGGGGGGGACGTATGGCATGCTGTGCATGTCCTTCCACTCATTGCCGCGGGTGTCATACCGCACGAATGAAATCTGTCCGGATTCGATGCACCTGCAGTATTATGGGGTCGGGGGGGGGATGTATGGCATGGTGTGCATGTCCTTCCACTAGTTCCCACGAGTGTCGCAATGCACGAATGAAGGAAATTTGTCCGGATTCGATGCACCTGTGCAAAAAAAAAGAACGAATTTACACGCGTTCGGCTGGGTTCACAAGATAGCTTTGCTTGTAAGTATGCTCGCGCATGTCGTTTGTTCATCAGTGCGTGAGCAAGGAGGTGGTGGCGAGAGGAGCAAGGGAAGCGCATGGGAGTGAGTAAGCGATGTGCAAGAGGGAAATGTGAGAGTGGAAATGCAGGCAGAGGTGAAGTATGCGTAGAGTCAGATGTGGGTATGGGAATGTGGAGAGAAATGCGCAAGCACAAGAGTAGACTAAGATCAAAGTGATTAAACAAATCAAAGAGCTAGAAAGAAAACAAAAACCAAGTGAATGGGACAGTCACACGAGGCCAATAGGAAAGACATACCTGAGAATGAAAATGTAGCGACCAACGACCGCCGAGTCTAGCACGACCCCCAGCTTCGGAATCGGCTCCCGAACCTCCCAGGTTCGGGCCCTGGGGTGGAAAACCTCCAAACTTAGCGCCTCAGCCCCGGCCCTGAATTGAAGACTGCTCCGGGTTCCACCAATCACGTGCAATCTCCCCCCCACACACCCCCCTACCGCCCCCACACGCACCCTGTTCATTTCGGGGGCTAATTCCCAATAACCCCCTCTTTTTCTGCGCCTTCTCCTCTCCCACTCCCCTACGTCTTCCCCAGCCTCTGCCGCAGCCTCTGTCTCTCCCTTTCCCCCCACGTTCCCCCCCTCTTCTTCTATCATTCGCCCTTGCCCCTCCGGAATGAAAACTTCAGCTGCCCGGAGGTCCTTCTTCTCCTCGCCCTCCTCCAATGGCTGCTGCCGAACCCCGCCCGCGACGAAAATTTTCCCCTTCCACTGCCCGCAAACGAACTTGAACCGCGGGATTTGCAGTGGCGGAGCAGAGGAGAGGGAATTCGTCCACGCGTCATACACAAAAGGGGGGCGGCCTTTAGCGAGTATGCCTCCGAACAGGAAAATCCGATTCGATACAGCACAGCACTGGGAGAAATCATCTATAGCTAAGGCTTCGTTTGGAAACACAACCCACGACCAGGAATTTAACTTCGGATTAAATGTCTGAATTAGAACCTTCGACTGCGCGGTCTGTCCTTTACTAATCACCACTAAGTGATTGTCCATCTGTCCTAACGCCTCCCTGTATTCTCGGAACGCGTCTGTGCGAATGATACCGCGCCACGTGCGGCACACGTGCTGCATTGGCCCTAAAGCGCGCCGATCCGCCCGAGCCAGGCACTCCAAAAGCAGGTCGTCCGTCAGATATGCGATCGGAGCGTTCTCAGCCGTCGGATCGTCCAGCGTCGCGTATCCGCCGTTCATTTGCGGGGGAATGTCGGAAGGAAGAGGGGGGAGCTCGATTTCGTACGCGGAAGAGGAGGAGGAGGATGCGCCGAAAGGACGCCGGAAAACACGGCGGAAAATCCGCGACAGATTGTTTGCTCCAGAGTTTGATTGAGTGGCCGCGGTTGCGGACGGCGAAGCCGCTGACGTGGCACCGGGTTCGCTCTCCCGATCCTTACCCCCGCCGAAGCGCACCTGACTAAGCCGCCTGACGTGCGTCGTAACGCGACTCGCAACGGCAGTGGAATACGAAAAGAACTTAGCCTTCGCACCGCTAGAAGCACCACCCCCACTATAAGCAGCCGCGCTGTCCCGTTTAGCGTTCGGTCCGTTTGTAAGCTCATTCGCGAGATCATCCAACTCCTCCTCTTCCATCTCCTCCTCCGATGACGAAAATCCGTCCATGGCTTCGCGTTGACCGCGTTGACTGCGTTGACTGCCGAACCGCCCGCTTAGATGTCTGCTGCTGCTGCCGCTCCCACTGCTGAGACTGATGCACGACGGGACTCTTCCGCTGCTTCTGCCACTAGCCCGGGAGTCCCGGGAAACCCGGGAATCAGCAGGGGGCGCGGCGAAGGAGAGCAGAGACGACGGGAGGATGCGGAAGCTCCCCCCTCCGCCTCCGCTTCCGCCTCCGCCGGTCGTGCATTCCTCCGCCAGCAGTGCTTTTCGCCGTTGCCGTTACTTGCGCCCTGCGCTCCGCTGTGTTTATACTGCAGAAACCGCTTCACCCCTACTAGTTGACAACAAATTGTCAGGTCATTCTAATGGTAACTCAAACCGCACCCACACCACGCCTCTGTCGTCTATCTTGCCGTCAAGAAACGAAGCTTTACCAATTCTGTCGATAAAAATGTTGCTCTATTTCAACAAAGTCAACAACTGGTAAAGACCAACTATACTACTCCACACTAAATGCCTCCTGCTCTGATCGCTATGGCTGTCGTTTATTAATTCTCAAAACCATGGCTTCCGTTTATTTTTTCCCTTGAGACCGCCAATCCCACACTGATTCTGGGAACACCGTGCCAAACGACGGCACCCTTTCAGTCCATTGGCGAGCATTGTTACTTTCGTTACCGTGTTCGCGCAGACGTGCTGCTACCTGTGGATCTTGTTCGCGTGCACCAGCAGTGAGTTCCAGCGGCGTGCCCTGTGGACCATATCGTTTCGCAAATGTAACTCGTCAATATCGCCAAACTCAACAACTGACCTCTGGTCGCCACGACCCGCACCACTTGCCACCACACGGCCCACACAATTTCTTGCATCGATATTAGAGCCTCCAAAACTCTCAAAACGTCTTGACCGAGTTTCAGTTCACCGTAAATGACAAAGTTAGACAGAGCTTCATCTTAAACATATGATCCTCTTGATATTTTGGCAATATGGTTCCACATCTTCATAAGCCCGTCAAAACTTGGTTCTTCTCTAACCTGCCCAGAAATAACAGGGTTAGCCCTATCAACTTGTGCTGCCTCAGGGGCAGTAACTCTATGCAGACCCAACCTCTCAACAGCAAAATCAGACGCCAACTCATTTGACCGGCAAGCACTGATCCCACCTTGAAGTGCATTGAAGGGTTTCCCTTCACAATCACCATTCGCCTTTCTCGCCCGCGAACCAGCCTTTCTCGTGAAATTCTGCCTCTCAGAGGTTCCAGAAACAACAGTCTTCTTGTCAGAAATCAGCTGACATAGCGATGCTTTCTCGCCATCTGGCTCCCCTTCTCTCACACAATCACCGCCCCGCCTCCTTTTCCTTAGTAAATCAATTCCACCCACATCGATCGCAATCTTATCAGGCAAAGAAGCACTATCAGGTTCCCTCACACCCGTCAAAAACTCCTTGTGTAATTGCACCTTCACTTTCGCTTTGACCTTCCCATTTTTCAATCTCCCCTGCCTATCACCTCCCTTGAGGTAAACCCTATCACCTGACTTGTGTGCATACGCGTCAAAGCAAACCCCGCCTTTTCCTGCTTCTTGCCTTACCCCCACACGCTCCCCACACACCCCTCGTGTACCCCCTCCCACCCTATAGTCCAAGTCTAAAGCCCGACTCTCAGCTTCTCCTGCTCCTCCTCCCATCTCCTTGCGTGCACCAGCACCACCTCCTCCTCCAGCCTCATTCTGTGAACCTGTATCCCCCTCCTCCTTATCACCTGCCACGTGCTCCCCATCTGCCACGTCAGCAACATCATCATCCACGTCCTCCCCAAGCCTCACCTCCTTGGCCTCTGCCCTCCACTCCTCACCCAGTCCAAAGCTTTCCAAATCTTCCTTGCTTCCCCAACCTCCCTTGCTTCCCAAACCTTTCCTGCTTCCCAGACCTCCCTTGCTTCCCAAACCTCCCTTGCTTCCCAAACCTCCCTTGCTTCCCAAACCTCCCTTGCTTCCCGAACCTTTCCTGCTTCTCAGACCTCCCTTGCCTTCCAAACCTCCCTTGCTTTTCAAACTTCCTTCGTCTCCACCATCCTCCCCCTCTTCAACGTCCTCTCCCTCCTCATCATCCTCCTGCCCTGTCAGATCAACCACATCTACGTAAGGCTCTCCTACCCCACCTTCCTCATCTATCCCCACTACCTCCCACACGCCCACCTGCTCCTCATGCCTCCTCTCCCCCCTGCCGTCCCTGCCACCCCCACCCTCCGTGATAACTCCTCGCTTGCCCCCATCACCATTTCCACCACCTACCACTCCTCCACTCCCCCCCCCACCTTCTCCCGGATTTGTGGATGCGCAGTCGCCGCCTACTCTCACACCTGCCATCCCATCCCTTGTGACATTGTGTGGCAAGACTGGGCAGTGTGTGGAGCGAGGTGAACGCTCCTGGTTTGGGGCCGTTGCATGCGACGCCTCTGGAATCGCGGGGCGAGGCGACGCCTCTGGAATCGCGGGGCGAGGCGAGCACACAGCTCTCACAACCGGTCGAAAGAGCCGCCGCAAGGCGTCCATCTCCCCATCCTCCTTCACCACACCCACGCTTATCAGGCCGTCCACAGGTGGAAGCGTGCCTGTCAGTGAGCCTGAATGAGGAGACACGCCTGTTGGCGCGTCCACAGGTGGACGCATGCCTACCACAGCAGCATTTGGTGCTGCCACTGCAACCTTCCCTCCCTCTGCATCTCTGCTGCCTCTGGCTGCACTGCTGCTCCCTCCTCCTGCCACTGCACTGCTATTCCTTGCTACGCCACTGCTCCCTCCAAGCGTGCTCGACTTCCCCTCCAGCCTTGATTCGTCTCGCCCTCCCAATCCCTCATCAAATCTTGTTTCCTCTCGCCCTCGTGAATCTCTTGCCTCTCTTGATGTTCGTGACTCTCCACCTCCTCTCAGCCTGTCACCCTTTCTCGAGCCACCACCCACTTCCACTCTCTTAAAGCAGTCAAAAAGAGTCAACCCTTTTCTAGGTTTGTGACAGTATGCTGCTTCCTCCCTCCCTGCCTCCCTCGCCTCCTCGCTCCCTTCGTCTGCCTCGTCTCTCCTTTCCTCTACCTCCATCTGCCCCTCTTCTGCCCTCTCCCACCTTTCCCTCTTGATTCCATCGCCATCAGACATCCCTGTCGCTCGCTCTCCTTCTGTGCTCCTTCCTTCCTTGCACCTCCTTCCTGTCGCTTGCACCTGCTTCCCTCCCTCCCCATCCCCCTCACCCTCCTCCGCCTCTCTCATTCTCTTCCTTCCTTTCACACCCCCCTTGCCCACACCCAGACCACCACCAGCCTTCTTATCACCCCTTCTCTTCCCACCTCCCTTCTTCTCACACCCTTCCCCTCCCTCTCCCCCTTCCTTCCCCCCCCCCTCTCCTCTCTTCTTAGCCTCCAAAGCCACCAACGCAGCCCTCGCTCTCCTCCTCTCCTCAGCCCACTGGCGTTTTTGGAAGTTAGTGTGCGACAGGTGGCACGCCACACAGAGCGTGCGCAGATTCTCCACTCCGCACTCCCCTCCCCCCTCCGCCACCGCTACTTTATGATCCGCATGCCACGCGTTGCCCTCTGTGGGAATGTCTATTAGACGTTGCAGCCTGGGGAGTGGGCAGGGGGAGGAAGTGGGGAGCAGGATGGCAGGGATATGAGGTGTAAACACAGGGAGGAGAGAGAGGCATTGGGAAAAAGAATGGGAGGGGAGGGGAGTTAGTGTGCGACAGGTGGCACGCCACACAGAGAGTGCGCAGATTCTCCACTCCGCACTCCCCTCCCCCCTCTACCACGGCCACTTTATGATCCGCATGCCACGCGTTGCCCTCTGTGGGTACATCCACCAGCCACTGCAGCCTGGTGGGCGGGGAGGAGAATGGCGATGGGAGGGGAATGGGATGGTGATGGGAAGGAGAGGAAGATTCTCCACTCCGCACTCGCCGCCCCCCTCTGCCACGGCCACTTTATGGTCAGCGTGCCATGCGTTGCCTTCCGTGGGAAGGTCTACCAGTCGCTGCAGCCTGAGGGGGTGGGGTGAAGGATGGGGGAGGGGAATGGGGTCAGAGATTCTCCACTCCACACTCGCCGCCTCCCTCCACCACTGCAGCTTTATGATCCGCATGCCATGCGTTTCCCTCCGTGGGAAGGTCTACTAGTTGCTGGAGCCTGGGGATAAGGAGAGGGATGGGAGGGAGTGGGGGACAGGATGGCTGGGATATGGGGTACAGCCACACAGGGAGAAGAATTTTGAGGCGCCTCAAAATACACCACAATGCACGTGGGGAACAGGATGGCTGGGATATGGGGTTCAGCCACTCAGGGAGGAGAGCGAGGCATTGGGTGAAGGAATGGGAGGGAAATGGAGGGCGGTGTGCGACAGGTGGCACACCACACAGAGCGTGCGCAGATTCTCCACTCCGCACTCGCCACCCCCCTCTGCCACGGCCACTTTATGATCTGCATGCCATGCGTTGCCCTCTGTGGGAATATCTGTTAGATGTTGCAGCCTGGACCATACAGAACCGCACTGCACTGTACCGCACTCACAGTGGTACATGGCAAAGTGGGGCGCCCAGTGCAGGATCACTCGGCGACTGTCAGCAGGGGGTAGCACCCTGATGGCCGGGGCCAGACTGCAGCACAGCACTGAACAAGATTGCACAGCTCTGAACAAGATTGCACACCACTGCAGAGGACTGCACTCACAGCTTGGGGTACTTGGCAAAGTGCGGCGCCCAGTGTAGGATCACTCGGATCCTCTTCGGTGGTCAGCGGGGGGTAGCGCCCTGATGGCCGAGAGGAGAGCGCAGCACAGCACTGCACAGCATAGCACACCACCGCACAGCACTGTACACGACTGCACTGCACCGCACAGCACCATTGCACTCACAGCTTGGGGTACTTGGCGAAGTGGGGTGCCCAGTGCAGGATCACTCGGCGGCGGTCAGTAGGGGGTAGCACCCTGATGGCCGAGACAAGAGCATGGCAGTCGAGGTTGCATGTCACACACACGCCTCGCTCGAGTGCAAATAGCTCCTGAGGTGATGAGAACGGGGAGAGGGAGGGGGGGGAGGACGGATGGGAGAGATCAGAGCGGTCAGCAGGGGGTAGCACCCTGATGGCTGAAACCAGAGCGTGGCAGTCCAGATTGCATGTCACACACATGCCTCGCTCCAGTGCAAACAGCTCCTGATGTTGTGCGTTGGTAATGCAGGGAATTGACAGGAGGGGAGGAAGACAAACCACAAAGCACGAAGCAACTCCTGAGGTGTGGGACGAAAGGCAGGGGCAACTGCAGTGCAACCGCACATGCCATGCCCGAATGAAACACCTTCTGAGGTGGGATGTGAGGAGGGATGTGAGGAGGGATGTGAGGAGGGATGTGAGGAGGGATGTGAGGAGGGATGTGTGGAGGGATGAGAGGAGGGATGAGAGGAGGGATGAGAGGAGGGATGAGAGGAGGGATGTCAAGAGGAGAAACGTAAGGAGGGAAGAAGGCATGCGAGGAAGGAGGTGGGGTTCTTACCTGGCGAAGGAACGAAAGGGAGGTGCGAGAGAGGTAGGTGGAGAAGCAGGAATCGCAGCAGAAGAGATGGCGGGGAACCGTTGGCGCCCTTGCTGCATGCGTCCTGGTGAGAGGCAGATTCACACGGCAAGGAATCGTGAAAATCGGGAGAGGTTAAACAGAGAGGTAGGTGGAGAAGCAGAAGTCGGAGCAGAAGAGATGGCGGGGCACCGTTGGCGCCCTTGCTGCATGAGTCCTGGTAAGGGACAGAGAGATACACGGAGTGACAGTGAGAGAGGTAGGTGAGGAGAAGCAGGAGTGGGAGCAGAAGAGATGGCAGGGCACTGTTGGCGATCTTGCTGCGAGGGAACTGGTGAGAGAAAGCGGGGGAGAGTGGGAACGGGAGGGATAGAGAGGAGAAGGGAGAGGATGAAGGGAGAGGATGAAGGGAGAGGATGAAGGGAGAGGATGAAGGGAGAGGATGAATGGAGAGGATGAAGGGAGAGGATGAATGGAGAGGATGAAGGGAGAGGATGAATGGAGAGGATGAATGGATAGGTAGGTGGAGAAGCAGGAATTGGAGCAGAAGAGATGGCGGGGCACTGTTGGCGCCCTTGCTGCATGAGTCCTGGTAAGGGACAGAGAGATACACGGAGTGACAGTGAGAGAGGTAGGTGAGGAGAAGCAGGAGTGGGAGCAGAAGAGATGGCAGGGCACTGTTGGCGATCTTGCTGCGAGGGAACTGGTGAGAGAAAGCGGGGGAGAGTGGGAACGGGAGGGATAGAGAGGAGAAGGGAGAGGATGAAGGGAGAGGATGAAGGGAGAGGATGAAGGGAGAGGATGAAGGGAGAGGATGAATGGAGAGGATGAAGGGAGAGGATGAATGGAGAGGATGAAGGGAGAGGATGAATGGAGAGGATGAATGGATAGGTAGGTGGAGAAGCAGGAATTGGAGCAGAAGAGATGGCGGGGCACTGTTGGTGCCCTTGCTGCATGAGTCCTGGTAAGAAACACACCCACACGGAGAGGGGGGGGAAATGAGAGGGGAGGGAAACGTATACAGAGAGGAGAGGGGGAAAACAGGGAATGTGAAAAACATCATAGAAGTTGAACAGAGAGGTAGGTGGAGAAGCAGGAGTGGGAGCAACAGAGAGGGCGTGGCACTGTTGGTGCCCTTGCTGCATGAGACCTGGTGAGGGATAGACAACGGGAGACAAGAAGCGAGATACGAGTGACAGATGGGTGATTTAAGGATGGCGTTCTGACAGATGGTTGGTTTTGTGATTTATCAAAATTGGTCCATTTAATGTTGCGGGCCTTGTATCAAGGAGGAGTGTAAAGAGGATTGTTGAAAGGAAAGCGTGTGTGATGCACTATCAGGGTCACCAAGACTGATAAAGGGGATGTTACTAAGGGGATGGTGTTAGAAGAGCGTCTCACCGGCAGATCTGACCACACATGCGGCAGAGTGGGGCCCAGTGATTGCTGCCACGAGGCACACTCTCAGAGGCTGAGACGCCAGCAGGACCAGACTTGGCTTCGTGCAAGTGCTCAGTGCTTGCACACGCTGCTTCTGTTTCTGCTTCCCCTGCCCCAGCGCCTGCCCCTGCCCCTGCCCCTGCCCCTGCCCCTGCCCCTGCCCCTGCCCCTGCCCCTGCAGCTGCTCTTTCTCCAGTCGCCACCCGTCCCCCTTCTCCTTCCCCCGCCCCTGATAGTGCTTGTTCTGCCATCTCCACCACTACTCCAACTGTAACTGCTGCTTTCACTGTGCCTGTCGCTTCCCCTGCTGTAGCTGCTGCCACTGCCGTTTCTGCTACTCCTGCTACTCCTGCTGCTTCTCCACCTTCTCTTGCTGCTGCTCCTCCTGGCACAGCAGCAGCAGCAACAGAACCACCACCAGCAGCAGCAACAGCAGCAGTAGCAGCAAGTCGCCCCCACAGCTGCCATTCTGTACGCATGCTAGTGCCCCGCCCATGCACCCTCACCGCCCTCATCTCCCTCTCCACCACCACCACTCCTCCTCCTCCATCCGCTGATGGCCCTCTGGCTGTTCCTCCTGACCCACCTGTGCTTCCACCACCCACTCCCCTTCCCTCACTGGCAGCAGTGAGTATATCCCCTCTCGTCGCCCACCTCTTCTTGCTGCCACACGGCCCTGCCATGCCCTGCCAGCACCACACACAGGAGGAAAATGAGCTGGAGGTTACTCCTTAGCGGCAGCAAGTATATCCCCTCTCGTTGCCCACCTCCTCTTGCTGCCACACGGCCCTGCCATGCCCTGCCATGCCCTGCCAGCACCACACACAGGAGGAAAATGAGCTGGAGGTTACTCCTTAGCGGCAGCGAGTATATCCCCTCTCGTTGCCCACCTCCTCTTGCTGCCACACGGCCCTGCCATGCCCTGCCAGCACCACACACAGGAGGAAAATGAGCTGGAGGTTACTCCTTAGCGGCAGCGAGTATATCCCCTCTCGTTGCCCACCTCCTCTTGCTGCCACACGGCCTGCCATGCCCTGCCAACAGCACACACAGGAAGAAATTGGGCTTGATTTGGGGTTACTCTTTCAATGCACATATCCACAACACCTCTCGCCATAACGTTGCTGAAAGGGAGCGGGGCGGGAGCAGCACTTGCTCAGCTCCAGCACTTGCTCATCTCCCAATAGGCAAACACTATCGGAAACGAGGCGTCTCACCATAACACCTATCACCATAACACCTATCACCATAACACCTATCACCATAACACCTATCACCATAACACCTATCACCATAACACCTATCACCATAACACCTATCACCATAACACCTATCACCATAACACCGCTCACCACAACACCTCTCACCATGACGTCACTGAAGGCTCACCATGACGTCACTGAAGGCTCACCATGACGTCACTGAAGGGGAGGGGGAACAGCACTCGCTCCAGCTCCTCCGCCACAGGAAGCGCCAGGATCCTTCCAAGCAGCTTCCTCCGGTGCTGCGGCTTCAGCGCCCCCCACTCGCTGACGAATGACCTGGCGGCCTCTCGAAGCGCCACGTGTCGCCGCAGGATTGGCGGCATGCGATCCTCTGAGTCCACGAGCTGGGGGGAAGCTGCAGAGGAACCTTCCTTCTTGCTTTCTATGACACAAAGGGGGTTGCTTATAACGAGGTCCAGATCTTCTGGATGGAAGTTTTGCTCGAGTGGAACTGGGGCGAATGGACGGTCAGGATGGCTGCAGAACAGATGGATCCTGCCCGTGTGATTGCTCACCTGCCCAATTAAAAGTCCCCACAAGTCATGGCACCGGATTATAAGGAGGCGCATAATGCATACTCGCAACGCAAGAATACTCACAACGTAGGGAAATCACAAGCACAGACAAGCATGGAAAAGACGCACGGAGGGAATGCAAGGAGGGAAAGGTGCAAGGTGGGAATGATACAAGGTAAGGCTCACACGGACCTGTGAAGGATGCCACATGGGAGGAAAGGGCTAAAGAAGCTGGGAAACGGAAGTTTGGACAGAAACAAAGGCATGCGCATTCATAATCACCTCGAATCGCAGGTCCTCCGGTTTGATCTGCGTCCATCGCTTTCCATCTGCCTCCTCCTCCTCCTCCTCTTCTTCCTCCACCCTGCCCATTTTTCCCTTATCATCTGCACAACAGCGAATTGCTGCACACTTCCCTCCCACATCCCTACTAGGAGCACTGCTCTCCCCCACTGGCCTGCAGCGACAAGGACTATTGGTGTCACATTCATGTGCGTACATGTCTTCCGCTTGCGGTCTGCTCAATGAGGCGCCTGGCAGTTGGGGCCTGTTTAACGTGGCCTTTTCTTCCTTGCTCTCCATTCCACCGGCGCCCTTCTCTGCTTCTCTACCCTCAATCTTGCCCCCCTCTCCCAGTTCATCGCTTCCCGTCCCCTTCTCTGTCCTTCTTCGCTTCACAGCAGAACCATCAGCAACACTATCCACTGTCAACCCTCCCTCTTGCTGCTTCTCCCCATCCTCAGCAGACTGGTCAGCAAAGCTATCCATTAGAAGCCTTCTTTCCTGCCTCCCCACTTTCTCCACCCCTCCCTCTGTCCTTCTTCGCTTCACAGCAGAACCATAAACAACACTATCCACTGTCAACCCTCCCTCTTGCTTCTTCCCCCCGTCCACAGCAGTACCATCAGCAAAGCTATCCATTAGAAGCCTTCTTTCCTGCCTCCCCACTCTCTCCACCCCTCCCTCTGTCCTTCTTCGCTTCACAGCAGGACCATAAACAACACTATCCATTGTCAACCCTCCCTCTTGCTTCTTCCCCCCGTCCACAGCAGTACCATCAGCAAAGCTATCCATTAGAAGCCTTCTTTCCTGCCTCCCCACTCCCTCCACCCCCCCCTCCGTCCTGCCTCGTTTAACAGCAGACCCGTCCACAACACTATCCACTACCAGCCCTCCCTCTTGCTGCTTCCCCCCATCCACAGCAGCCGACACACGCTCTGCACTGCGGCACAGCCTCTGCCACGCCGTCTCATCCCGAGAGTCCTGAACAGAAGGAATGCACGAGAAAGGTAAGAAGAGGAGCGAGAAGAGAGGAGTGAGGAGGCAGATAGAGTGACATAACTTCCCTTCCAGCACTCCCTCTTGCTGCTTCCCCCCATCCACAGCAGCCAACACGCGCTCTGAACTGCGACACAGCCTCTGCCACGCCGTCTCGTCCCGAGAGTCCTGGATATGGGCAGGGAGGAGAGGAGAGGAGTGGAGTGAGACAGGCGATATAATGACTTCCCTCCCTCCCTCTCTCGTGCTGCTCCCCCCCGTCCATACCACAGCAGCCGGCACTCGTTCTGCACTGCAGCACAGCCTCTGTCACGCCGTCTCATCCTGAGAGTCCTGGATGGGGGCAGGATGGAGGGAAGAAGAGGATTGATGAGAAAAGAAGGCAAAAAAAGGGTCATCCCTGTCCCCCTCTGTCTTGCTGCTTCGCCCCATCCACAGCAGCAGACACACACTCTGCACTGCGACACAGCCTCTCCATGCCGCCTCGTCCCCGAATTGACTTTTGAGGCGCCTCAAAAGTCGACACTCTGCACTGTACCGCGACACAGCCTCTCCATGCCGCCTCATCATCACTTTTGAGGGAATCCTGGGTGAGGGGGATGGGGAGATGAGGGGGAGAGAGGAAAAATGAGAAAGCCTGTGCGCCCGCCCTATCCTCTGGCGGAAGCAGATCTGGTGCTGCGGAATATTTAGCATTTACGTTTGGGTTGCGGAAACAAAGCAAGGGAGCCTCACCTTAGCACAGAACATTACCACGTTGACAGGGAAACTCTGGCCCCGCCTGTGCGCCCTGTCCTCTGCCTGCAGCAGATCTTCCGCAGCTTATGTTGAGAACCTGTATTAGGGTTGCAGCAGTCTCACCTTGGCACAGAACATCACCACGTTGACAGGAAATTTTTGGCCTCTCCTGTGCGCCCAATCCTCTGCCTGCAGCAAAGCCGCTGATTTGCCACTCACCATCTTTAAGGAGGAAGAATCCTCACCTTGGCACAGAACACCACCACGTTGACAGGGAACCTCTGGCCTCGCCTGTGCGCCCTATCCTCTGCCTGCAGCAGATCTGCTGATATGTCATGCCATGCACCTTGAGCCAGGACGCAGCACAGTTACATCCTCACCTTGGCACAGAACACCACCACGTTGACAGGGAACCTCTGGCCCCTCCTGGGCGCCCTGTCCTCTGCTTGAAACGAATCCACTGATTTGCCACTCACCACCTTGAGACAGGAAGCAAGAGTCTCACCTTGAGACAAGCAGCACTCTCACCTTAGCACAGAACTCCGCCACGTTCATCACATGGAATCTCTGCCCCTTCCTGTGCACCCTATCCTCTGCCTGCAGCACATCCGCTGCCTTGCCTCTCACCTTGAGGGAGGAGGAATCCTCATCTATGAAGTAGGGCTGCAGTGGTCTCACCTTGGCACAGAACACTACCACGTTGACAGGAAACCTCTGCCCCCTCCTGTGCGCCCTATCCTCTGCCTGCAGCAGATCTTTCGCCGCTTATGTTGAGAGACTGGATCAGGGTTCCAGCAGTCTCACCTTGGCACAGAACACAACCACGTTCACAGGGAACCTCTGCCCCCTCCTGTGCGCCCTGTCCTCTGCCTGCAGCAGATCTGCTGCCGCCCTCGGGATCTCCGCAAACACAATCGTCTGCGCCGCACTAAAGTCCAAGCCCACGCCGCCCGCCGTCACGCCCACTATCGCCACCCGGACCTGAGGCTCGGTGGCGAACCTCTTGACAGCCTCGGCCCGCTCCAGAGGAGGCGTGGTGCCGTCCACCCGAACCAACTCAAACCGCATAGCAGCTTTGGCAGGCTTGGCAGGTTCGGCAGGCTTGGTACGGCACGCAGGCTCGGCAGGGTCGCCGTACCTCCTTCCCCTGCTCCCCGCATCCCCACCTCCAATCTCCACCACTCCTTCCTCTTCCTCTCCTTCTCCTTCGCCCTCTGCCATTCCACTTCCCCTCACCCCCTGGGATTCCCTTTCTCCCTCAGCTCCCCCCACTTCCTCTGCCCCCCCCACCTCTTCACCCGCCCCTCTCTCCTCATCCATCCCACCCCCCTTCTCCTCATCATCGCCTCTCCTCAGAATGCTGGCAGCAGCAATGCGGTAGACAGCAGCCTGTAGGGCGTCCATCACCACGTGATGGTGGGCGAAAATCACCATCTTCTCTACCATCCGCCCATTCCTTCCCCTGTGCTTCTTCTCACTCCTCTCTTTCCTCTCGCTTGGTCCCTCCCCCTCCACATCCCCACCGCCTCCAACCCCTTCTCCTCCCCTTCCCTCGCCTCCCACCCCTCCCTCGCCTCCCTCTTCCTCTCCGCCCTCCTCACACCCCTCCCAACCCCTCAGAACCGAGCAGTGACTCAACCACTCTTCCACCCCTCTCATCTTGGCCAGTCCAAGTTCTTCAGGGCTCAACCCCCCAACCCCAAACTTCCCTCCTCTCCGCCCCTCCCTCTCCTCTGCTCCCTGCTTCCTCCTCCCCCTACCACCCCTTACTCCCCCTCTTCCACCTCTTATGCTTCCACCCCTCACACTCCCCTTTCCGTCCCTTTCCCCACCTCTTCCACCCCCCACATCCCCCCCACCAGCATTTGAATTACCCCCTTCAGCCCTTAAAGCCCTCATCCTCCTCCCCCTACCGCCCTCGGCCGCCTTTGCATCACCCACAAGTGCCTTCTTATTGCCTTGTAGGATATCCGCCGTTTTACAAGGGTCAGAATCACAGCTCCGCTCACTGTTTCTTTCACTGCTCTTTTCCACTTCCGGGTCCTTCAAATTTCCCTGTTCCACACCCTCTTCCCCTTCACCCTCTTCCCTATCATCCTCCTCACCCTCTCCTTCCTCTCCTGCCTCCTCTTCTCCCCCTTCCTCCCCCCCGTCCTCATTGTCCTCTCCCCCATCCTCCCCCTCTTCTGTATCTACATCCTTGGATTCTTTGTCTCTATACACCACAGCACTACCCCCTGCCAGCTCAGCAACTCTCTGAACCGCAAGTGCCACGTCAGATGGTTCAAGGCGCAGCCTGATGACCTGGCGGCGCTTAGGTGGCAGCTGCAGTGCCACCTCAGACTTGAGCCGACGGATCTGCAGCAGGGCAGAGAGAAACGTCCATCCACACACACATACATAGTACATGATCGCTTGCATCATCTGGAACAAGAGAAGGAACAAGACTAGGGAGAAAGAACAAGAGGGAAAGGCTCAAACGATGATTCGTGCCTCTGCCTCACTATGAAGGTCTGTGACTGCACCCCTCCGCACCTGGGAAAACGCCTCCTCACCATGACGGTGCGGGACAGCAGGACGTGCAGCACACGCAGTCGAATCCCCCTTGAGAATTCCCTGCTGTCCTGAGGTGGCAGAACGGGCTAGCACAACCACCCCCCCTCCTCACCACGACACACCCCTCTTCACCGTGACCATGTGTGACAGCACCCCTCTGCACCTGGGAAAACCCCTCCTCACCATGACGGTGTGCGACAGCAGGATGTGCAGCTCACGCAATCGAATCCCCCTTGAGAAGTTTCTGCTGTCCCTCTTACTGTCCCTCCCCTGGTCGCAGCAGTCATTGTATCCGTCCAGGTGTGTTATGAGTCGACTGAAAACCCCTCCTCCTCACCATGACCATGTGTGACAGCACGAGCACCCCCGTCTCTCACCATGACGGTGTGCGACAGCAGGATGTGCAGCTCGTGCAATCGAATCCCCCTCGAGAAGTCTCTGCTGTCCCTCCCCCTGTCGCAGTAGTTGCGAGCAAACTCGTACTTGGACGTGCCCAGCAGGCCAGGCCTAGGTGAACCAGCAAGCGTAAGGGGAGACGGTTGGAGAGAAGTCAGGGGGGAGAAGGCAGGACAATGACAAGCAGACAGGCCAGACATGTTTGCAGATAGAGAGATGGAAGAAAGGGCAAGGAGAACGGCCCAGCTCGCAGGGAGAGAGAGAAGTATCCTGATGTACGTATCTCTCTCAAGCTCGGCTCTCTGGGAGGGAGGGGGGGTGTATTTTGAGGCGCCTCAAAATACGCCTCAAAAGGCGCCTCAAAGGCACCTCTAACCCCAGCTCGCAGGGAGAGAGAGAAGTACCCTGATGTATGTATCTCTCTCAAGCTCGGCCCTCTGGTAGTGGGAGGGATGGCTTACCAGAGGCTGTCGACCAGGTTGAAGATGTCAAAGGGCCTGCAGGTAGAGAGTAGCACAGAAAAGGGGATGGTGGAAACATTTGAGCCGGCTCAAAAGAGGCTGTCGACCAGGTTGAAAATATCAAAGGGCCTACAGATAGAGAGAAGCACAGAGAAGGGGATGGGGGAGAAGATGCTCATAGAGTCTTGTAAGGAAGGATAAGCAGCGAGCGGAGAAGAAAGAGTGGGGAAGGAGCAGCAGCAGAAGCAGCAGCAGCCGCGGCATCACATCGTTACAGTCTCACGCGGTGAGTGCGGCAACGTGCCTGGAAAGCGAGGGAGTGCCGGTGAGCAGGATGGCTCGCTTGGTGCGCCGAATCACATCCACCACCACTCGAGTCTGATGCACACGGGTGGTGGGGGTGAGGAGGGAAGGGAGGACAGGGAAGGAAAGGGAGGGGAGGGAGGAAAGTTGCGTTGGTGCGCCGAATCACATCCACCACCACCCAAGTCTGATGCACACGGGTGGTGGGGGTGAGGAGGGAAGGGAGGAAAGCGGAGGCAGTTAGGGTTTTGAGTTGACGGAAAAGTTGCTTTGGTGCGCCGAACCACATCCACCAACACTCGAGTCTGATGCTCGAGGTGAGGGTGGTGGATCTGTCAAGAAGAAAGACGAACGGGTTCAATTCACGACGAGCATAAAACGTCTCAAAATCCCTTTCTCCATCGCCCCCTCCCGTGCTGGGATTCCCTCACCTCCAGGCAGTCAAAGGGTTTCCTGGCAGTGCGCAGCACGTGTACTTCATGCACCACCATCCCCCACCCCCCTTGTGCCCCTCCCTGCCCCTCAACGCTCTAGGTTTTTCGGTTCTAAATCTGCTTTTGAGTCGACTCAAAGGGTCAAAAGCAGGTTCTAAATCTGCTTTTGAGTCGACTCAAAGGGTCAAAAGCAGGTTCTAAATCTGCTTTTGAGTCGACTCAAAGGGTCAAAAGCAGGTTCTAAATCTGCTTTTGAGTCGACTCAAAGGGTCAAAAGCAGGTTCTAAATCTGCTTTTGAGTCGACTCAAAGGGTCAAAAGCAGGTTCTAAATCTGCTTTTGAGTCGACTCAAAGGGTCAAAAGCAGGTTCTAAATCTAGGGCCCCTCCCACCTCCATGCAATCAAAGGGTTTCCTGGCAGTGCGCAGCACCTGAGCCTCGTCCACCACCACCATGCCGCACCAGCCCCGTCAAGGTTTTGGGTTTGGGGTTTCGGAATTAGAGTGTCCCTCACCTCTAAGCAATCTAAGGGCTTCCTGGCGGTGCACAGCACGTGAGCCTCGTCCACCACCACCATGCCTCACCCCCCTCGCCTCGCGCCACGTCCCCTCTGCAGCATATGCCCACATTCTTCCCCCATCCACCCCCCCCAAGTGCTTCATTCTCACCTCCAGGCAGTCGTATGGTTTCCTGGCAGTGCGCAGCACGTGAGCCTCGTCCACCACCACCATGCCCCACCCCCCTCGCCTCCTCATCAGCGTTCGTCTCAACCTGCCTGCCATGGTGAAGGACGTGATCACCACTGCTGGGGCTGCCACAGGGGGAGTAGAGGGTTTAGGGAGGAGAGAGGGTTGAGTGGAGCGAGACTCTCACTGCCACAGTGCTACCTTATCAGCTGCCCTGCCATGGTGAAGGACGTGATCACCACTGCTGGGACTGCCACAGAGGGGGGAGGGGAGGAGCGGAGGGGTTGAGATGGGTTGAAGGGATGAGCAGGGATAGGAGGGCTCTGGGCTCGTCCACCCACCACCACCATGCCCCACCCACCTCGCCTCCCCATCAGCGTTCGCCTCAGCCTGTCTGCCATCGTAAAGGACGTGATCACCACTGCTGGGGCTGCTTTGGGGAGGGAGGGGGAGGTGAAGATGACAATCAGTGGGGAGGTGAAAATGACCATCAGTGGGGAGGTGAATATGACAATCAGTGCCAGTTCCGAGAGCCCTCTTCCCCTCGTCCTCCTCTACTAGGTCGCCCCTTTGACTCCAAAAACTGACCTCACCTGTGCTCTTTGCGTTGTCCGTGTGACTGTTGGAATGACCATGGGTGCCCGTTCCAAGCGCCCTCTCCCCCTCGTCCTCCTCTACTAAATCGTCCCTCTGGCCAAACACTGCGGGCAGTCACAGGGTTGTGGAGATCAAACATATCAACATGTTTCAACAGACAGTGCTTTGAGTGACCATCAGTGTCCATTTCGAGCGCCGTCTTCCCCTCGTCCTCCTCTACTAGATCGTCCCTCTGGCCAAGCACTGCAGGGAGACAAGGAGGTAAAGATTTTCATTAGTTAAAACTAGTGCCTTGGGAAAAATTCAAACTTGAAACGAGCAGGCACTGCTGCAGAGGCAAGAACATTTGGCAAGGATCAGCACAGTCGCTGCACGTGCTTACTGCAGGGGCTGCAGGGGCTTACCCACTTGGTAGCACCATGAACGCAGGGCAGCTAGTAGCACACGCCAGATCGCTAGTGTTGCTCGCTTGTACTGTGTGATTGTTACCTGGTTGCGGCGAGGGCAGGGGCCTACCAATGTGGATTTGAGATGGGCGCAGGAAGGGAAGCCACCTTTCCAGCTGCTCGGCCCACTGCAGCCTGAGGCATGCCGGGCACACGATGAGGAGAGGGCCCTCTGCCATGTACCACGCCGCTACTGCTATGGCCTGGGGGAGCAAGGGGAGAGATGGGACGAGAAAACACAGAGGGTGCGGAAGAAAGAGGGTGGGAGGGATGTGCTTGTTAAAGCCTGTGAGTATAGGGCTAGAGGCAGCTGCTCGGCCCACTGCAGTCTGAGGCATGCCGGACACACGATGAGGAGAGGGCCCTCTGCCATGTACCACGCCGCTGCTGCTATGGCCTGCCGGGGCAAGCGGATGGACGGGCCGAACATGAGAGACAGGGAGCAAGCGAAGAGCCAGTTGAATCCTCTTTCGGCAGCGCTAAGGCTAGCTGTACTGGTCGCCCCACTGCAGCCTGAGGCATGCCGGGCACACAATGAGGAGAGGGCCCTCTGCCATGTACCACGCCGCTGCTGCTATGGCCTGGGGGAGGGGGAAGGAGTGTGAGATACCACAAGCAGTTGCTCAGTCCACTGCAGGCTGAGGCATGTCATGTCAGCCGGCTGGACACACAACGAGGAGAGGGCCCCCTGCCATGTACCACGCCACTGCTGCTATGGCCTGACGAGAGGGGGCAACAGGAGGATAGGAGCAAGGGAAGTACTGAAGTGTGAGGCACGCCGGACACACAACGAGGAGAGGGCCCTCTGCCATGTACCACGCCGCTGCTGCTATGGCCTGACGAGAGGGGGCAACAGGAGGATAGGAGCAAGGGAAGTTCTGTAGTGTGAGGCACGCCGGACACACAACGAGGAGAGGGCCCTCTGCCATGTACCACGCCACTGCTGCTATGGCCTGACGAGAGGGGGCAACAGGAGGATAGGAGCAAGGGAAGTACTGTAGTGTGAGGCACGCCGGACACACAACGAGGAGAGGGCCCTCTGCCATGTACCACGCCGCTGCTGCTATGGCCTGACGAGAGGGGGCAACAGGAGGATAGGAGCAAGGGAAGTACTGTAGTGTGAGGCACGCCGGACACACAACGAGGAGAGGGCCCTCTGCCATGTACCACGCCGCTGCTGCTATGGCCTGACGAGAGGGGGCAACAGGAGGATAGGAGCAAGGGAAGTACTGTAGTGTGAGGCACGCCGGACACACAACGAGGAGAGGGCCCTCTGCCATGTACCACGCTGCTGCTGCTATGGCCTGACGAGAGGGGGCAACAGGAGGATAGGAGCAAGGGAAGTACTGTAGTGTGAGGCACGCCGGACACACAACGAGGAGAGGGCCCTCTGCCATGTACCACGCCACTGCTGCTATGGCCTGCAGTGGATGGGGCAGAAGGAGGGTGTGGGTGGGAGGTGCGTCGTGAGTCAGTCTCGGATCACTGCAGTCAGAGGCATGCAGGCCGGCCGGACACACACACACACACACACACACACACACACACACACACACACACACACACACACACACACACACACACACACATGTGGGCAGAACTCATCAAACAAACAAATTCGCGGCAAGCCCACCTGTAAGGTCTTCCCGACGCCCATCTCGTCTGCAATCAGGCATCGCCCCCCTCTCCTCACTGCAAACTCCACTCCCTCCCTCTGGAACGGCCTTAGACACCCACACACACACGTATATGGTCTACCTGGATGGTCTTCCCCACACCCATCTCGTCTGCAATCAGGCATCGCCCCCCTCTCCCCACTGCAAACGCCACCCCCTCCCTCTGGAACGGCAGCAGTGCTCGCCGGAGCTGAATTGGCAGCCGTTGCTCCATCTCCTGATCCAACGCACTCCTTGTCGAACCACCTTGCCCCGAACCTACTGCCAGGTCACTTGCTGGACAGGCGAGGTTGAGAGAAGGTGAAAAATGAGTGCCTTCTGCTGCTGAAATTCCTGCCCATCCTGCCCCTGCTTCTCCTCCTGCTGGTGCTGCTGCTTCCGCTGCTCCTCCTCCTAATCCTCTTGCTCCTCCTCCTCCTCCTGCTGCTGCCACTGCTGCTCCTCCTGCTTTCACTTTAACAGATACTCCTACGGTGACCGCTGTTGCTGTGGCTCCTTTGATTCCGACCTCTGCTGCTGCGGATGCTGCTGCTTCCACCATCCCTCTCATCCTCTCCCTCTCTTTCCTCTCCTTCAACGCACCTAGCGTACTCACAGGCACGCCCTGTATCCGCACCCCCACACTCACTCTCTCACACTGCTCTGGTTGTCGGTTTGGAGGAAGGGGTTGTGAGGCATGGAAGGGAGGGAGGGAGCGGAGGGAGAAGAGGAGGGAGTCGTAGAGGCGAAGAGGGAAGACCGGCACCAGGCGGGTGACGCCCCTTAATGCCTCTGTTGCCACGTGCTGCCACCTGATCGGCCGAATCTGCAAGCACAGCAGTGGTGGACGGTTGGGAAGGGAGGGATGGAGCAGGACTGGTCTGGTCTGGTTGCTAGTTTCATGCAAGGGGTTGAAGGGGTTGTGAGGCTTGGAAGGGAGGGAGGGAGCGGAGGGAGAAGAGGAGGGAGTCGTAGAGGCGGAGAGGGAACACAGGCACCAGACCGGTGACGCCCCTTGATGCCTCTGTTGCCACGTGCTGCCACCTGATCGGCCGAATCTGCAAGCACAGCAGTGGTGGACGGTTGGGAAGGGAGGGATGGAGCAGGACTGGTCTGGTTGTTAGTTTCATGCAAGGGGTTGAAGGGGTTGTGAGACAGCACGACATCACATCTCGTCACCTTCACGAAGCTCATGCAGAACGCAAGGGCAGTCTGATGATCCAGCCGCTTCCCAATGCTGCCCCTGCTGCCTGCATCTTCCTCGCTGCCATTCTGGCGCCTTGTTGCAACTTCTCTTCCCTGCATACAATTCTCGTTATAAGAACCGCATGTATTAGCCGCGTCTCCAATCACAGGCACTTTCTGATTTCCTCGCCTGGTGCCGGATTGTCTCCCGTTCCTCCCGCCCTGCACTCCTCCAGCTCTTCTCATGTACTCCTTATAAGCAGCTCCGCTTGTGTCCCAATCCGCAAAGACACAGAACTCTTCTGTTGAAACGAGCTCCAGAGATAGCTGCAGAGGAGCTTCTGGGCCCTGCTTATGCTGTGGCTGCGGTTGCTGTGGCTGCTGCTGCTGCTGCTGCTGCTGCTGCTGCTGCTGCTGCTGCTGCTGCTGCTGATGATGATGATGATGATGACCATGATCCCTGCTCTCTTCTCCTCCTTCCACCTGCTGCCTCAGCCTCTCTGCTCGCCTCTGCATGGCTGCTTGCCGGTTCGCATTGATTCGCTCCTGAACGTCCAACGGAAGCAGTGAGTCTTCACTTTGTTTCTGAGATTTCTCACAAACCAGCAGCGAATCTTCACTGGGTTTTTGCAATTTCTCACAGACAAGCAATGGATTTCCGCTTGGCTTTTCCAATTTCTCACAAACCAGCAGAGAATCCTCACTGTTTTCCCCCGTTTCACCAGCGAATCCTGCCTTGACTGATGCGCATTCAGCAGCTGTCTGCACCAATGCTCTGCTCTCTGACCCTTGCATCAAGACCTGACCCTTCTGCTCTGGACCCTGATGCTCTATCTCCGCTGCTCTGCTCCCTAACCCTTGTGTCATGCCCTTTTCCTTGTGTTCTGCTTGACCCTTCTCTATCTCCCTTGACCTCCCAGACTTCTCATTTTCCACCTGCAGCAGTTTATCAGTGCTGTCTGTGCTCTGCACGAGCTCCTCGCGAATCCTGCACTCGGTGCTCTCATCTTGTTGCATCTGCTTGATTCCATTTTCACGAGGATCCGTGCGATCAGCCACATGTGTTGCTCGAGTGGAATCGGGAGGCAGCTGCTTTCCCTGTGTCAGAAAATTCGTCTGTGGTGCTTCATCAGACACGCTGACTCGCGCTTGATCGCCTGCAGGCAATCGATCGCAGCCAAACGTCGCCTGCGACTCGTCAGCGTCGTCGACCAGCCAGGCGAACACCTTGGCTGCTCGCGACGTTTTGCGACTGGCGAATCCGGGCCTGCGACGAGTAGATGTCGCCATCCTCCTTTTGTCCGCATCACTGCCGGAAACGCGAACTTACAGCACTAAGCGCTCGCTAATGGGACACTACTGGCTAAGATTACTAAAGATATCACGGTCCACACACACCATGTCCGATATAATCCAGAATGCAGGTACCAATATAGCCACTTTCTGAAACCGGCAAGCTGTAGTGGTCTAAGGACATCTTAAAATGATATAATGGACCAGGACTTTGAGTTGCTGTGAGCTACCATACAATGGTCGGATTCTATAATCATCCATGAGTCAAGCATAACAGCAACGACCTAGAGATTGGTTTTGGTTCGGGACGGAATCCTCAAGGGAAACTCAGGGTTTCTGGAATCCAGAAAGGGATTCCCGAATGAGGCTGAAAGAGGAGGAACAAGAAGTGACGCTGACGCCATTTTCAGTTTCGCCATTGTCGGAGCGAACGCCTTTGCGACAAGGTCGGAAAAAGTCGAGCTCTGTTACCGGAAATTGTCAGAGGTTGGCTCCAGGGTGGCCAATCCCGATGGATTCAAGCTTAGTACTCGCTATTCGACTTCGAAGTTCGAGAATATATTCCGCTTCCGGAAAACCACTTCCCTTACGCACTTCACCACCGTAAGCGGATTTCAATGGCTGCATTAGTGAGGGAACCACATGAGCAAGAGACGAAATAGGAGCGTATTCGTACGGCCTCATATCAGGCCACCTCGTACCAAGATTGTACCTTTTGCCGGGTAAATGGCGACACAGGCATATGGTAACATATTTCATCAAGCAAAACCATACAGTAACCAGTTAAACAATACGGATGGTAATGTAGAAGGGGCAAACCTACATAACCCGGTGTTCCAACACTACATGCTTGCATCATCAACCTAGAGCATTTGTCCCGTTTACTTGTAATCCTAGTTGTGCTGCAGCTTCTGCTGCTGCCACTGCACCTGCCTGCATCTACCCCTCCCCCATAACCACCTCCAACCGTTTCCTCCCATTTTCATTATCAGCTGCACAGCTTGCACTGACCACACAGCACCACACAGCACCACACCACACCACCACCTCCACCGTGTCCGCCCTCCATTCCATCATCACTCCACACCATCGCAAATCCCTTCACCAGAGGCTGATGCCGCCTCCCACCTCCAATGCCGCCTCCGACCTCCACTGCCGCCTCCCAAGCCCACTGTCAGCTTCAGGAACCTTATCCACCTCCACTTCCACCTCCAGGAACCTTTTCCACTGACACTGGAATCTCCTGCTAACCACAGCACTGCGTCCTGCCAGTCACCTCCCCTCCTCATGAATGCTGCTGCTTCAATCCCTCTTCACCACCTCTTGCATGTGGATATGTGTGAATGCATGTGGATGCACGTAGAAGCAACCGGAACCGGAGCGCGTCTAGACGCACGTAGATGCATGTGCATGCATGTGGACAGATGCGGATCACAGCCGCTCGTGCAGCCGTTAAATCCCATCAATGGACGGCAGCGACTCCTCCCATTCAATCACCGCTTTCGTCCTCGACGCGCCCGCGGCGGGCGCGCGGTTTCCGCCAACCAGCGCCGTCTCCAGATTTAGCTTCTTCTCCGCGTCGCGCTCCATCTGCTCCAGCTTCGCCTTGCGATGCGATCGCCAAAACACCCACGCGAGGCAGCCCAGAACCAGCAGCAGGAAGAAAATCCCTATGGATAACCCCACCGCGAGTGCTACAGTGTCGTTGTTAGACGACGGTGCGGGGGATGGCGGAGGAAGTGGTTGCGGGGGGGGAGGAACGGGGGAAGGGGGAGGCGGAGTGGGGGGAGCGGGGGAAGGTGGAGGAGATAGCGGCGGGGGTTCGAGGGAGATGGCTAGGGTAAATTCCCCTAGGTCGGGAGATTTGCAGGTGTAGTTGGTGGTACCCGTGACCGGAGTTGTAGATGACGGCGGCGGGGGAGACCTGTCGGTTGTTACTGTAGAATTAACCGGCAAACCGTCAGCGTCAAACGTCACGCAGAAGTAAAAATCCGGAAAGTAAACGTCCAACGCCAGGGAGACCTGAATCGGCGTGTTTGAATCCGTTACAGACACATTCAGCGGTTGGACAAGAGTCGCGCTGTTGATCATCGAAAACGGGTACACGCTCAGCCCCACGAATTGGGCCGCGTATTTGTAACCCTTCGGCGGTTTAAACGGCGCCGTGAAATTAGGGTAATTCTGGTACAGTAACACCACCTGCGACTCCGTTGTAGGAACATTTAACCCGGGCGGTAAGTAAAACTCCTTAAAACGAATACCATTTGCAGCGAACGACGCAGTATCGAGGACGGCGAGGTCCATAGTCGACCCAGAAGAGGGTGTTGAAGGTAGGGTTATTATCGTTCCGTTGGTCGCATTTGCGACGTGCGAAAACGCAATCGCCTGCACGACTTCGTGGAACAGCTGTAACCGCTTCTTCGCGATCGCGTCTTGGTCGGTCGACTTCGTCGTTGCGGCTGCGGCGGGTTGCGCGGCTTTTCCGCGCACAGCGCCTGGCGGAACGGATTGCGCGGAGACGAGCTGGTGCGCTATCGGCGACGCGAGGAGAAGCAGGGAGAGAAGGGCGAAGAGACGCGGTAGGCGGGACGAAAAGAACGAGGTTGTCCGCCCCATAGCTGCAGGTCGAAAGGGTATGCGGGAACTGTCACTGGCACTAAGAAGAAAACGATTAGGAGGTGACGACCAAGTAGCGACACTGGAGGCGACTAATGACAGCGGTTACTTAGTGAAAGTAGGAGTCTGCAGGTCGGACCCGTTGCCATGGTGTAAACTTAGTTCGTAGTAGGTGCCTCTCTGCAGGAAGAAGTAATGTATTCGTTTGCTATTGCGGTTTGCAGTAATGAGAGGCGGTGAGCAGGGGCGAGAGTATTCGACCCAGCGGGTCCAGATGAAATGCGATATTGTCGCTGTCGCAGGTCCGTTTGAGAAAAGGGCTGCAGCTATGGCAATGGGTGCCTCAAGTCGCAACCTAACTGGAAATTGCGCAAGTCATGGGAGGACGTGCTCTGATGGATCACTTAGGAAATGAGTGGAATGGAGAAGACCAGAGCAGCAGGGCAGCGGGGCAGCAGAGCTTCAGCAGCAGCACCATCAAAAGCTGCAACAGAAGCAGCTAGGAAAGCGAAACACGTACAGTACACCACTCTTTCACCGAATGGGGTGGATGGAACAAAGCGGAGGAGGGGGAGGAGTGGTGGTTCCGAAGCAAAGGGTTGTGTTTTTTTCTGCCTGTTGGTCGAGGCTCGAAGAATCAGGGGTCACCTGGTTTGACAGGTATTGGTTGGTTTGGTTCCGGTGATTTTGGTTCGTTAATGCAGGCAGTACAGTACGTAGTCGACGCGCCGCGGCAGCTGACGGTGTGCCGAGCCTCGAGGGGCAAGGTAGGCGCGAGAATGGAGAAGTGGGCTAAAGGGGAAAAGCCGAACCGAGTTCTTGGGGCCGAAGGCTTGGAATGGGAGCCGAGTTCTGGGCGACTTTTGGAAGTCAGTAAGTCTGATTGACGTTCAAATTCTCGACGAATCAGAAGTGCAGCTGGTCGAACGACTGTCGTTATGTCATCGCACAGTTCGTAACAAATCAACACAGAGGAGCAGGTCCTCGGAGCGAATCGCCTGTCATGAATGTTGTTTCACGTTCAAACTAGCGGTGTGGTTCGTTTGCTCCGTACCTCTCTCTTTGGTTTTGCTCGTGACGCCGAATCGCCCTGCTTTGGTGTGGTGAAACGGCGGCGGAAGATTGCATGATGGATTTGGCACAGTACGCTTCGTAACAGACAGAAGAATTTCCTGGATGAGCTGGAAACGTAAATCAGAATACATTGTCATTGACAGCTAGAAGCCAGCATCAGGTCTAAACAGGCATGCATCCTAATGCCCCTATCAAAAGTGGGCATAGACACATAAAAGACTAGCAGGTGCAAAATACCTCAATTCCAAGTTAAAACCACCAATCATGGAGTTGATGCAACACTAACAAGCCGCGCTAATTGTTTTAGGACCATAAACTTCCACACCACATTAAAGCAACAGTACGCAGAACCACAGTCATGGAAGACCCCAAGCGGGCACTCGATATGACTCACAAATTTAGGACGCTTCACGGGAAACCTCAAACCGTGTGGGCGTGTCAATCTGAGAGAGGACTGTGAGGCCTGAGACGAGAATCATGAGCATCACAATGCCCTGAAGGCATGAAAGACAAAGAAACATGGAAGTTCAAAGGAAGACAAGTGGTCAGATAAAACGCAATAATTGCCAAACACTCAGACCCACAAGAACAGTCCAGCCCAGGGAAGTAAGGTGGGGTGACATGGAAAACAACAAGGAAACAAAGCAGAGGGACTAACTCACAGCAAATATGCCCTCAAGGAGAGCGGTACGGGTCTTGCACGTTGGCCCACACTTGTTCTTCGCCACCGCCGCCTTAACCACTTTCTGTCCCTCCACACCCTCTGCACCCGCACCAGCATCCGCACCGGCACCAACACCCTCACCACCGCCTGCAGCAGCAGCATCAGCAGCACCTGTGCCGGCAGCAGGGTAGTCGTCAGCAGCAGCGAGGAGGCGCCTCTGCGCTCCCACGTCGGCATCGGGGAGTGCAGTGTAGAATAGAGCGTAGTTGGGGGTAATGGCCTTGATGTGGGACACCAGATTGGAGAGCTCAGTGGCTGCGAGAGGAGATGAGAGTGGAAAGCAGAGGGGAGACAAGCAGAAGGAGTGCGGTGTGAGGGAGTCCGCTGTAGAAGCAGGCGTAGCTGGGGGTGACAGCCTTGATGAGGGCTGCCAGAGTAGAAAGATAAGAGGCTGTGAGGGGAAATCAAAGGTGGAATCAGAGGGGAAATCAGAGGGGAGATCAATGGGGAGACAAGCAGAACAGTGCAGTGTGAGGGAGTGGCTGCAAGAAAAAAATTGAGGGGAGACAAACAGGCCTGCAGTATGAGGAAGTGCGGTGTGAGGGAGTGCGATGTGAGGGAGTGCGGCGAGAGGGAGTGTGGTGCAGAATCGAGTGTAGTTGGGGGCGATGCACTGGATGAGGGAAGTTAGAGTGAAGAGCTCAATAGCTGTTGGAGGATGGACTCAGAAAGTTAACAAGGAGACTAAAATCAAACAAGCACCTCTCTGAAGGAGTGGAGTGCGGTGTGAAGGAGTGCCAGGTGAGGGAATGTGGTGTAAGGGAGAGTGATGTGTAGCTTTGGGGTGAAAGAAGATTCTCTCACTTTCTGCTGCAACAGCATCGTCGTGTGAGTCAGCGCTTGCAGGGCCATCCGAGCAATAGAGCACCATGTCCAGCTCCCTAGATGCCCTCACGCTGGCACGGTTGTTCAGAAGGTCCTGAACGTGAGGAAATTCACAAGAGGAGATGCACGAGGGAAATGAAAAAGCACACTCTAGCCAAAAATAACGTGAAATTGCATCCGAGGCCAAGCAAGAACAGCAAACCGAGGCCACAGCGGCATCCGAGCAGCAAAGCATAATGTCAAGCTCCCTTGTCGCCCTCCTGCTGGCAAGGTTGGTCAGGGGGCCATGCAAGAACAGCAATGCACAAGGAGAGTTGCATAAGGCATGGAAACATCACACAGTAGTGCAAAGTGTCATCAGCGCACAGGGTCACACAAGGGAGAGACGAATCACGAGCCGACACGAGTCAGAACCTCGCAGCACAGAGCAGTTACCTACCGACGACGACGAGACAGACGCAGCTTACCCACCTAGTGGGAGTCTTCATTCCCACAGAGTTGGGTCCCCATACGAATGACAGGCCCACACGAAGCAAGCACTGAGCGCAGCCCACCCCGTATAGGCCAGCGAGGAGAAGTAAAGCATTCCAGAGAGAAGAAGCTGGCACTCTATTTGCACACCCTTCCTTCACTTCAGACGGCCATGTACCTGGAGCGAGTCTTCACTGCTAAAGCGGTGAGTTCCGGGACGACTTTTGAGTCGACTCAAAAGTCAACACTCTATTTGCACACCCTCCCTTCAGTTCAGACAGCCATGCCATGCACCTGGAGCGAGTCTTCACCGCTGAAGCGGTGGGTTCCGGGACGGGAGACGGGCCCACATGAGGCACTGACAGCAGCATGTCCCGCATAGGCCAGGGAGGAGAAGGAGGCAAGCAGAGCATCGAGCGCGTGGGCAGTGTCAGCGTGGTCGAGCGGCTGGACGTAGGGGAAGACCTTGGAGGACGCGGACTGGGAGAGGAGTGCCTGAAAAGAAAAGGGAGTGAAGAAGGAAAGGGAAGAAAGACGGGAAGGGAAGGGGACCAGGAACGGGGAAAAGAGGGGCGGGAGGGAGCAAAGACGGGTACGGAGAAAAGGCGGGAGAAAGGGGAGGAAACGGAAAAATAAATTGAGTGAAAACGGAGGCGAGGGAGGAAAACCAGGGAGGGAGAAAAGGGAGGAAAAGAGAAATGAGAATGATGAGAAACGAAGGGAGAGGAGGAAGGAGAGGAAAGGCGAAAAGCAGGGGAGGAGTAAACAAGGGAGCAAAGCCAATAGAGGAAAGAAGGCGAGGAAAGGAGTGGGGCAAGGAGGGAGAGAGGGAAGAAGGCAGCAAGTGCAGACGTGAGAACAGGGGGACTGAGTATGCGCACATAAGAAAAAACACCTTGGAAGTTTCGAGAGGAGCAAGGAAAAGCGAGGGGGAGAGGATTGAGGGCGGCAAGCGAACAGAAGATGAACGAGGCAAGCGCTCCTCAGACGTCTGCGTGAGAGGATGCGAAGTGAACTATAGACTCCATCTCCCCACTTTCCAACCCGCCAACCCTTTTCCCCTACGTACGCCCATTCTCCCCCATTCCCTCCTCCCCCCTCCCCCCTCCTCCCTCCCCGAAAGTCCCAAACGCCATGCCATACTCTACCCTGTTCCCCATAGAACTTCTCCGTTTCTTCCCACCCGCTTCTCCCACCCCATGCCTTTCTCGGCGCTAGGAGCGTACCTTCAGAGGCTCAACGGATCCAGTTGGAGACGACAGGTCGGTGGTTCGAATCTGCAAAACAGCATGGAAGAAGCAAAAGAGTAAGTTTCCAAGGCTCGCACGCAGGACATGCGCAGCTCCCGATGGTGCTACCAAAATAAAAAAAGACGAACAAGAAGTGAACGTGGTGCAAGACAAGAACGGACATGACAGTTACGAAGGTGATGAAATATCTAGACAAAGCAAAGACTGACTAACCTCCTTGCCCAGGAACACGAGGACCACGCCAGGCCTCTCCTCCGCGAAGGATGAGAAGATCGAATCCTGTAATCGACAAGAGGAGAGAGACGGGTACACGAGAGCGAACGAGCGTTTTGAAGTAGGCCACGGAACAGGAAGTAGTCTTATGGAACGAGTGCATGCGTGCAGGACATGTGTCGACATCCTGATGCAAATCCAACCGATCCAAATCTGATGGCCCTTGAGTGAAGCTCGGTGCACTCAGACGTTACTCGATGTAAAAACTACTAGAAGCAGAGATTCAGAAGGAGGCCGCTTCTGACTCACGACATACGCCAGCGTCGGATGGCTGGCTTTATGAAAAGGAGGTGTTGACGACATGATACGACACACTGAATGAGTTATGGAAGATAACAGGGACGCTCGCCAATGACATTGGTCAACAATCCGCGAATGAGGATTATAGGGCCAGCGAAATGGATTGGGTTATATCAGGACGCGTGATCGTAAAACGGGTGTTCTTACATCGCGAGAAGGGTCGAACAGGAGAGAAGGAAGAGCGGATCCTTGAACTGACTCGTAGCTGACAGCTTCAGTCGGATCTGACAACCTGCGGAACCCTAAAAGTTAGTCGACTGAACTGAAACGGCGATGCGATCAGAAAGACTTTAAGAAAAACGATCCTGGTAGAATTACAAAGCTTGGACGAGGTTAAGTGTGATACCTGACGCTCGAGCTGAAAATGGCAGGTACAGCAGCGAGGCTAGGAGGAAGCAAGCACACCAGAATGGTGGCAATCCCGAGTAACCCGAGCAGAGCTTTTGATCCGGCCATCGTTATACCACTTAGGGAAGGAAATAAGCGCTTCAAGGCGGCAGCAAGCAATATTGCTGCTAAGCTCGGACTAAAATGCAAATAAAAACTCGAAGTTACGGCTCCTCTAGTAAAATTCCTAGGTATGGCTTGATCAATGTTTCCTGCATCATGTCCAGGGAGTTCGCCTTGAAAGCATGCGTTTCTGTTCGGTTTATTCTGTTCCAAAGCGGTAAGAAGTGGAAATCGTGCTGAATCGTGAAGAACCCAACTGAACCGCATACGAGGAACACACGACCAATTGCTGCTATCGTAGCTCTCTAGGGTCAGCTGGATAGTTCAGGCGGCATTACAGCAGGAGGAGCACACACCCTTGTGGTTAACGAACAGCTCTGTCAGAGTAACAGCCCTCCGCAAGGCACTTCGCAAAAGCCCTGGACGTACTTCGGTCGCGTTTGAGCTGGAGGCTGGGCACGTGCTCCTGACGAACTCCAGTTTTCGTCGGCGTTTGTTACGAGCTTCGCAAAACTCAGAATCTCACAACTCCATCGGGAATGCGTGAAATATCAAACCAATGCTGCAGACAGCAACACCATGCTGCAACCATTTCGAACAGCAGGGAAAGGGAGAAAATGGTTCCAAGGCAAGAGGGAGGATGCAGAACGCACGTCACCGTTCACTACCTTGTGGGACCGCAGTAACACGAGTACGAGACGTTCAAGAACGTATCCCACCGAACTGCAACTCTCCAGAAAAATCTTGTTTCAGATCAAGCTTATCCAGACACGACAAGTAACCAAACCAGTGATGGCCGAGCGACTAGGTTTTACCGTTGCTGATCCACAAAATCCATGGCTCCCCCTCAGGTTCACCGTCTTCCAACCTCCACATACAGGCGCGTAGCCTCTTCCCTGTCACCTCCACTTCCCTCGTCTCTACCTGTGATCAAAAGCTTTTCTAGTGGCTGTGTATTCCGTGCGGCTGCGATCAGATCGTTCGCCAGATCGTCGTCGCGAACGACCATCCGTTTGCTGAGCAAGCCTACAGAGAAGAGCCTAGTGTTCGCGAAAAGCACAAGCGGGTTACCAAATTTCTCGCTTTCTTCGCAGCCTACGATTTCTTCGCCTGCGTCCTCGTCCGTTTCTGTATCCAGCTCGCGATCTTCGCCACGACTGTCCCTTCTCGCGAGATTTACATCAATTTCGTCGTCATCATTCACATCAACCTCCCGGTCGTCACCAATCATGGCTGCAGCTCCTTGCGTGCAAGCGTTGGAGCAGCGCCTTCCTAATTCGCCGGTTAGCCTTCCATTTTCGTCGCTCCACCGTCACGCCGACGGACGGCCGAGAAACCGCGTCAGGGTAAAGCTCAACGACGAGGCCGCGTTTTTTCAAGCGCTGACGGCTAGCCGTCAAGTTTACACCGGCGTGACCGTCAACGCAGCCGGAGGAAACGGGGCGACGATCCCGACAAGCGATTTACCGCCGGAGGAGAAGCAGAAAGACGTGGCCAGAGACAGTGGGGATGGGGCAGGGGCAGCTGGGAGATCTTCGGGAGCTTCCGAGGAGAAGAAGAAGGAGGAGGTGATGACGTTACCGACTATCCTAACGATCGCTCGCGTCGTAGCAGTTCCCGCCATAATTCCCGGTACGTCCGATTCAGGAATCCTTAATAGTGAAAGACCCAAAACTCATGCTGACGATCGCTCGTGCGGTAGCAGTACTAGTGAGTAGTGATCTGTTGACAATGCCTGACCTGTTCACGATACAATAAGGGTTTTAACCCGTTCCTTTCTCCCGTTCGTTTCTTCCTCCCGTTACTCCTTCCTCCCGTTCCTCCCGCTGCTAACGTGAACCTTTCTTCCGTTCGTTTCTTCCTCCTGGTGTCCCTCCCTCTTTTTCTTCCGTCCCTTCCAGCGTTCTTCTTCACCCCGGGAACCGCCTCGGCCATTTTCATCATGGCCTCAAACACTGACCGCCTCCCGTTGTTCCTTCCTTGCTCCCGTTGCTCTTCCCTCCCGTTCCTCCGTCCCTTCCAGCGTTCTTCTTTACCCCGGGAATCGCCACCGCCATCTTCATCATGGCCTCGATCACTGATTGGCTGGACGGGTACCTGGCTCGGAAAGTGCGTCACATGGTTATTGCGTTGCTTTTATTCGTTGCTCGGTTTGCTGCATTTAGAGTTGTCCATCCCTTCGTCACCTTGTTTCCTCTTCCTACCACCCTCCCACCCACCCTTCCCCAACCCCCCCTCCACACCCTCCTCCTCCCTCCCCCCAACCCCCTCCTCCACTCCACACCCGCCCCTACTCCTTACCCCGTATTACTTCTCCCCCCTCACCCGCACTGCACTCTCTCACTCTCTGTCGCCGCTTTTCTCACTTCCTTCCACATTCTCATATGCTCTTCCTGTTTCCAATTCACACATATACTCGTACTCTTGTTGTCTTCGACACACACATGCTCCCATACTCTTAGTGTCTCCCATTCACACATGCCCCGATGCATTCTGCTGTTTCTTTTGCCTTTGGTATTGATGTTGCAGATGAATTGCAGCTCTGCGTTTGGAGCTTTCTTGGACCCTGTTGCGGATAAGGTGAGCTGCGAATCATTCATGTGCGAGCAGAGCACACACATGTGCTGTGCTCGCATACATGCATGCAATGCATGCACACACACACACACACATCCATGGCTCACACTCACACAAGTGCGCACTCGTTCTAGATTGATTGGAAGTCCACCATTGCTGCATGTTACGATTTTGTTACAGAACCTTCATTTGCTGAATGACTACACGTGCAAATTACACACCCACCCACCCTCCCCCTCTCCAACACAAATGCCTCTTCTCTCTCTGGTGTCATCACATGAGCTTTTCAAGTTTTCCCTCCCCTGCCGCGTATGCTGCTACCTAGCTGCATTGCTGTAGTTAACAATCTTTTGTTCTTGTTCACGCATATTTTTCCCAACCATCTCTCTCTCTCTCTCTGTCTCTTCCATCCTCCCTGTCTCTCCCTTTCTTGTTCTCCTCAACCACTTCCCCTCTCCCATCAACAGCTAATGGTGGCAGCAGTGCTCGTCCTACTCTGCACGGAACCCCCTCCAGTGATCCCCTTCCTCCCATGGGCACTCCCATCCTGGACCATTCCGGTCCCCGCCATCGCCATGATTGGCCGAGAGATTGCCATGTCAGCAGTCCGGGAGTGGGCGGCAGGGGAGGGAGAGAAGCTGAAAAAGGCTACTGCGGTCAGCGGATACGGCAAGTGGAAAACGGCCACGCAAATGGTTGCAATCACGGTGTTGCTCGCCATTAGGTCGCCCATGTGAGTACCGTATTCCCCCACCAAAAGACCCTAAGAAGCTGAAAAAAGGCTACTGCGGTCAGCGGAAACGGCAAGTGGAAAACGGCCACGCAAATGGTTGCAATTACGGTGTTGCTCGCCATTAGGTCGCCCATGTGAGTACCGTATCCCCCCTTGCATACACCCTGAAAAAATACGCACGCCAAGGTGGCTTGAGTGGAAGTCCAAAGCATTCTATCTTGGACCTTAATTCTATCATAACTACCCCTCATGATAATAATAAAAAAAAAACTTTTGTAACAGTAAAAGCAGTTGCACGCTCAATACATTCTCCACCAAAGCTTAATTTTTGCTCTGCACTCCCATTCATACTAGTCGTTTGAATTGCAAGCGCCCCAGGTTTCGTCACCGAATTTGCAAGTGACTTACAACTTGTCGTTACAGTTAACGTAAATTGTAACTTCCCTTACAAATGACTTTTCCACTAGCCCCAGTTCTTCAGCATTTTTTTTTTCGCCAATTACCCCCTCTCCCCCCACACACCCCCCACCTTTCTCCTTCCCCTCCTCCCCTTCCCCCCCCCCCCAACCCCCCTCCTCCCTCTTCTCCCCGCCCCCGGTTCTGGACGAATCCCATACAACACCTTAGTGTGTTTTGTACTACTCTCCATCCAATTTTTTGCTCCCATGCATTTCTTTCTATCTAGCATCCAACCCTATGCATGAACGTCAGTACCAGCTGTTTTGCCTCGCAATAGTGTAGCTGCTCGTGCCAGAACAGCAGCTAATTTTATTTCCTTTTCCCCATTTTTTTTTTCTTTTCTATAACAGGCTACAACTACCACTTATTGGTCCATTAATCGGTACATCAGGGGTGGTGCTTTTGTACACATCTGCAGTTCTTGCCGTTGCCTCTTTTGCCATCTACATTAGATCTATCGCGGCCGCACTTCGCAATTTGTAGTATCTATAGCCTGGCATATCCACTGGTATATGTGCAGGGATGGCTTACCACTATTTGCTTTGTTGTGGCTTATTAATCCAGAAGTGAGTCTAGAAACCGTAACTAGTAGTGTGCGTGCAGTCCAGACAGTACATTCTTGATGACTGAGATTCCCACGTCGGTGGCCTCTACCATATGCCACGAAGCAGCTTTTTGTTGGAAAATGGACTTAGGGCGCGCTCTTGGCTGGTGTCTAGAATCTTGACACCAAGCTCTGAAAGGTTGGGATTTCGGTAGATTTTGACGATGGTGGCGTGGAATGATCGAAATCGTCCATTTGCCTTGTGTCAGGCTCGCTGACACCAGCCGAGAACGCACCCTTATACAGTACATGGTCAGGGGCTTTGGAAGTTGTCCACTCATAAATATGTGTTGTTGATTGCCTTCGAAGTTACCCTGTCAGAAACCAGTCACCAGGATTACCCAGCCTGTTTGCTCACCCCCTCGCTGGAATTCCTGCCATTCCCTCTCGTTTTGGCCTGGGGGCTGCAGTCTCAAATTGGCTCGAAACCACAGAGAACTGGAGGACAATTTCACCACTAGAGAGTGGAGTAGAGGTGCACCATTTTGTTGCTTCTGACTGAAGCAGTGCTATCACGTGTGAAGTTGTGGGCCACACATACAGTAAGCGATGCAGTAGCTGTAGCCTAATTACCCTTCCCACTTTATATTTTTGCATGCCTCTCCTCCTGGACGGGGTGGCACGCACCCCAAACCTGAAGAGACCATCGAAGGTGTCATCCACATTGACCTTGCCCAGCACACTCCCACACTCGCAAAATCCCAAGATGGATTTGAGGACCTTCGGCTCAAATTGGGCTCAGGCAGCTTGAGGTTTTCTGTTGTGCATTTTGTTTTTCCACCTACAGATTTTCTCTCGACAGCCTGACTAATCATATGTTCACAGATTTGGTTTCGGAGTTCATGTTTAGGCTGGATCCACAATTCTTCCTTCGCCAGGGTCTCCCATCCTGCTTCCTTCCAGCTAAATTTTCTCAGATTCCTTCGCACCTCTCCCCATCACAGCTATGCTGGCATTGTGCTGCCAACTTGGCAATCGACCTCTTGGAAAAATCATTGTAAGATTCCACCATCTCGCTTACGCATTTGTCGTTTGTAGCATCGCATGGTATTTCCTGGTACCCCGCAGCTTTGTGTCCCACTTTATGGGGTATATGTTTCTATTACTGTACCATTTACAACAAATAAGCATTTTAGAATCAATTGTCACATCAAGGTACGCACAAATTGTCTGCGGGAGAGAGTTCTTGCAATCGACCAGTATTATTATCCCGACAAATGTTTTTACCCTCGTACAGTGGTAAGACGTGCTTGTGGGACCCAAGTTCCGACCAGCTCAACCCCGCTCCCTCCCCATCCATACGTCCAGCAAGGCCTTCGGTTACACGTCCACCACAGTTCCAGTTTGGAAAGCGCGAGCGGGTTGCGAGCTCACGTGGCACTGATACGCTCCTCCTGAAGAAACTTCGTACGGACTTTCCCTTCAACACGTGACCGCAGTGGGGGGACTCGTGCTACTCGACTGAGGAAGGCAGCTTGTTAATGAGCATGAAACTTATACCTGATGAAGTGTAGTCATTAGGGACATTACTGACGGAAGTGTATTATGGATCCATGTTTTTATGAAATGGTTGGTAAGGGCGCGGTGCTTTTGAATAGAAGTTCAGGAAACAGGTCGACCTAAAGATGGTTACCGGCTTCGTGAATGTTGCAACTTTACTCTCATGGAACCAACTCAGAGATCGAAAGTCAAGGAACCAAAATGTAAATCGACTGTGTTTTCGAACGTGCGTTCGAATAGTGCTCTTGAACATGGTCAAGTTTGCTCACGTTCAGCAGCTGCGCGAATCTGGCGGATATTGGCGACATCTACAAAAAACATTTCGATGACGACGTCAAAGCAAAGTAGGCTACACCAGGTAACCTACTTGGTTTCCTCGCGGCTCGTTGAGGATCGAAATTCTATTCCCGACCCTCGATGGTCACATTTGACTTACCAGAAATTGGCGAACTCCCCTAAGCAACTTTTCGACTCCACAATCGAGCTCAGACAAAGGGTGAATTCGACTAGCATTTGCGCCAAAAGCACCGCGCCCTAAGAACCAATGCTGACACAGCTTCATTGCGGTCTGACGTTTTGAGGTTGTACACGTAGCACTTTGCACTGAGGCTCCTACAAGGGTACAGTCGATGCTCAGCTTATCACAAAACATTTGCTCTCACAATTAGAAAATTAGTCACTCACGAACGTTTTGCCCGTGAGTGACTAAATTGACCATTGTGCCGATTTCGGGGTACAGTCACCAAGTTGAGGAAGAAAAACATCTACAGTAGATAACAACAACGGTTACCCGTCATCAGAGAAGTTAACCTGGTTACGAAATTAAAGCCCTTGACTCGATTCACGTTGCAATTTCATATTTCTGTCACATTTTTGCCCTTGGCGACAAGGGCGACTGTGGCGAAACGCTTCTAACACGTTTCACGCTCATGCCGCCCGCCTACCTGGTGTTCTTGAAATGGGCACCGACTGTATCGTGGTGCGGGCTTGCGGGTTGCGATGGTGGATGGGGACAATTTCACGCTGAGCCGGTTTCATGCTTGGCAGGTTGTGTTCTGTAACGGATGTGTGTGTGGTGTGTGGGGGGGTGGGTGGCAGCGAGCTGAGTCAGGGAGGGACTGTGGATGGGCTGAAGAGTCGAGAGTCAGGTAGGGATGGACTCTGGGAGGGCGGACTCTTTTCGGGGAGGAAGGACTCTGGATGGTGGGGCGGAGGAGTTGAGTCAGGTCAGGGAGTACGGGACCTTTCCCGAGGGATGTGTGGGACGGGGTAAGTGGTGGTGGTGAGTGGGGGGAGGATGCGTCCGCTTGCATTGCACTCCATTGCGGTTGTTTTTATCCCGCCACCTCATCATTCCACTTGTCGCGCTGATTGGCATGGCTTGACGCGATGTGGCGTTGCGGCTTTCTCCTCAAGCTTCCTCGGTGAATGACATTGCTGCTGCTTTTGCCAAAACCGCCAAATGCACCTCAACTGCCACCCCCTCTTGCCCCCGACACTCATTACACACTAATTGTTGAAAGAAACAACACTTCCAGGTGATTGTTGCAAATAAACAACAGGCGCAACTGGTGTTTACCGTCGACAGTTGCGACTGTAAATGCATGGTGTGGGTCCTTCCCCTCCTCGCCTCTGGCTGACATATCCATTCCGCTGTTTTCGAGCTGGCCTAGATACAGTATTCTCGTTCTCCGCATTTACTGTAGTAGGGACACGAGCGACTGTCCTTGAAAAATCAACTCCTCATCCTCTCCCTTCTTCGATAACCCGTCCACCATTCTTACTCTTGGAGTTGTCCTTCATCGTCCTAGTATTTTAGTTCCTCGCCAAAGCCTCTGTCCATCTGTGTTCCGCTCAGGCTTTTCCTACCATTCAATCTGTTATTATCGTTCGTTCCTTCGCAAATGGATTGCGCAACTGCTTGCATGGCATACGATAGTGTATCCTTCCCTTGTAAATTCTATGGCGGCGCTAAGGCCGCGGTTCCCGACGCGGCGCGCGTCTTCTCCGCAAGATACGACGTCGCGGAGCTGCGCAGCCACGAAGACGCTTCCGCTTACCCCGAGAGTTGCGCTCGCGCGGAGAGTTCCGAGTATGAACATCGCGCGGGGTGGAACGTTGCGGAGTCTGACCTGGAGGCTGTGTGCTCCATGGATCGCTCGATGTCGCACATGCGACGACTCGCTCGCGACGGCGTCGTAGGGAATTGGAAGGACGACGATGAGATGACGGAGAGCGACGAAGTCGACGACGACGAGAGCGTGTGCGACACCGCATGCAGCCGGCCTTGCCCAGGAAACGCGGAAGAGCGCAGCTGGGATAGCGATGATCAAATTCACCTGGCAGCAAAAAACAATTTCTCGGCTGACAATATGAGGGCTGAGGCCATCCGGATTTTGTCTCGGGCACAATCGCAAGGAATCCTGCCCGCGAACCTTTCTCCGGAAGCGCAATCGGCTCTCATCTCGATGCTATTGAAGCCTGTGAGCGGCTCCGTCGTGCCTCATGCAGCTCCCCTTTCCCGGACCGTCAGCGGCGTTAGCTCCTATGCGACAGCGCCTTCCCAGGCGACTCCGGCTGACAACGCAGCGGCGCGTCCCGCATCGCCGCCTGTCGGCGCGGGTTTCGTTGAGTCGTTGCGATTTTTCGGCGAGTCCGGCGACAGTTGCGGCGAAGAAACAGACCCGTACCATGGACTCGGCCCTGCGCTTGACGCTGAAATCGCGGCCATGGCTTCAGATGATTTGGAGTTTCTCGACATGGATATTATCATGGAGTTAGACGAGGATGCATACAGTGATGGGTGTCACGATGTTGACTTCTAATCATTCAGTTCTGACCACATTCGTGAAGAATTTCGGGTGCCCCGGTTCTAGCGATTCAACCTAGGTTTCTGGGTCACCTCACATGATGTCCTGACCTGACCATGTTCTTTCTTTCTCTTCCACTGCTATACTAATCTCTTAAAGCAGCAGTATACATTTGGCAGGGGAAAGGCCAAAAGTTTATAGAAGGTACACGGTGGTAACCAAATTGCAGGGTATCTCACTGTTAATGGACACAGCGACAAGTTCAAACCCAACCCCAGCGTCCTGATTTGTCACAAGTTAATGGCTGCCTCCTCGCCACTATCCCCACTCCCACAGCGCTCTCAGTCTATCACTAAACATGACGACTACCAAAAGCACTGCAAGCCATTGTGATTATAGCGCATCTCACGCTTAGGTCATACACTGACAGAGCCAGGGTTTATTTTCCGGCGCCTAATACACGGAGCATTTTGCGGGGAAAGTGAGAATGCGAAATGGCATAGCGTTCGTCATAGCCCTTTTTGTGCGGCCCGATTCCCCTTTGCCTCATGCCCCTCCCCGGCGCCCGGTTTCCCTTTCCCGCCGCCACGAAACCCCAGTCACGCTGCCCGGCGATTCCCCTTCCCGTTGCTCGACTCCCTGTTCTCGCCGCCCGATTCCCCTTCATGCCTCCCGATTCTTCTTTCCCGCCGGCCGCGTTCCCTTTCCCGTCGCCCTACTCCTCTTCGCGTCGCCCGATTCACGTTCCCGCCGCCCGGTTCCCCTATCCCGCCGCCCGAATCCCCTTCCGCGCCGCCTGAATCCCCTTTCCCGCCCATTCATTCCGGGCGGGCCACCCGACCGCCCCTTCCCGCGGCCCGATTCCCCTTTCGCGCCGCCAAATTCCAGTTCTCGCCGCCCGATTCGCGTTCCCGCCACCCGCTTCCCCTTTCCCGCCGCCCGATGCGCCTTCCCGCCGCCCGATTCCCTTTTCCCGCCGCCAGACATGCCTTCCCGCCTCCCTATTCCCTTTTCCGTCGCCCGACTATTCTTCTCTCCCTTCCCTCCTTCCCTCCCTTCCCTCCTTTCCCTTCAATCCCTCCCTTCTCTCCCGTCTCGCCCTTCTCTTCCTTTCCCCCCTCCCTCCTTCCCTCCCTTCCCTCCCTTCCCTCCCTTCTCTCCCTTCTCTCCCTTCTCTCCCTTCTCTCCCTTCCCTCCCTTCCCTCCTTTCCCTTCAATCCCTCCCTTCTCTCCCGTCTCGCCCTTCCCCTCCCTTTCCCCCTTCCCTCCTTCCCTCCTTCCCTCCCTTCCCTCCCTTCCCTCCCTTCCCTCCCTTCCCTCCCTTCCCTCCCTTCCCTCCCTTCCCTCCCTTCCCTCCCTTCCCTCCCTTCCCTCCCTTCCCTCCCTTCACGTCCCTGCCTTCCCTCCTTCCCTCCCTTTCCCTCTCTTCCCCCCATTTGCTACCTTCCCGCCCTTCTCTCCCCCCTGCAGGCTATCTCCCTTTTCTCGCTTTATGCCTCCCACCGCCTCAACCTGCCTTCCCATCTCCCCTTCATGTCTCCCACCACCTTTCCCTTCCTTCTCAACCCGCCTTCATGCCTCCCACCACCTTTCCCTGCATGCCCATCCCCCTTTCATACGTCCCACCTCCTTTCTCCGCCTTCCCGTCTCCCATTCATGCCTCCCAGCACCTCTCCGTGCCTTCGTACTTTCTTCCCTCCCTTCCACCCTTTCTCACTGGGCCACTCTTTGTTCTGCTCGTAGGGGCAAACCGAACCTCCCATCCCCTTCCAGCACTTCCCATCCCCTTCCAGCCCCTCCCATCCCCTTCCAGCACCTCCCATCCCCTTCCAGCCCCTCCCATCCCCTTCCAGCACCTCCCATCCCCTTCCAGCCCCTCCCATCCCCTTCCAGCCCCTCCCATCCCCTCCCAGCCCCTCCCATCCCCTTCCAGCCCCTCCCATCCCCTTCCAGCCCCTCCCATCCCCTTCCAGCCCCTCCCATCCCCTTCCAGCCCCTCCCATCCCCTTCCAGCCCCTCCCATCCCCTTCCAGCCCCTCCCATCCCCTTCCAGCCCCTCCCATCCCCTTCCAGCCCCTCCCATCCCCTTCCAGCCCCTCCCATCCCCTTCCAGCCCCTCCCATCCCCTTCCAGCCCCTCCCATCCACTGGGTGCCCCTCCTATCCATACGCACACCGCTGCTTTGTTTCCTTACGCACTTCACAAAGTTCCCTACTCCCTTCTTCTGTTCCCCGCCAGAAATCAAAGATGTTCTAGTGGCGATGTGGGCATCGGCAACGGTTGATGCTTGATTTTGAGAATGAGGAGGATGAAGATGAGGAAGGAGGGTGGCGACGGGGGGATAGCAGAACTGAATCGGGTACCGATACTCACGGCATCTTCATGTCTAGGGGTTCGGTGGTTGCTAGCACGACACACCCAATTCGAATGGGAAGTGCCCGACGAGATAGATTTTGCAATGAGGGCATTCGTGCACGTGCATATGAGCAGCAACGTGACTGGTACCGAGGAATCCAGGGTTGATTGACAATGTCACATGCGACCAGATTGTCTAAATGTTATTATTTTACGTGTGCCACTGACTGAACACACTCCCTACTCACTCACCACAACTCCCCTCACTGACCACCCGTCTAACTCACTGACCACGCACGGCAGGAGGTCATCGCTTGTGTCATGCACGCCAGTTTTCTTGGGAGTGCACGCCAGATGATTGTTGTGTAGCACAAAAAAAACAAAAACCCTGCTGCCACACAACAGAACAGAACATGTGCACATGTGCAGGAAGTGCAGCGGGCGCTCTTCATTCGCGAGCGCCGATGACCGATTATGCTCACAACCCTCCCATGCACTTCCTGGCTTGGTAATAGGCTCAGACAAGTGAGAAAGTTAGAACGAGAATGAAATGACTATGAATGAAGTGAGTACAAATAGGAAACCCTAGTTGGGTTGTACCCCCTATGGGATACCCCACTATAGCCTACACAAATAAGTGAGCTATAACATTCTGACACACCCCCATAGGCAAAGTGGGGGAGAACAAGGGGTCACAAGACCAGTCAAGCAAAAACAAAGCAAAGCTCAGGGTGGATCACAAAGTCACCACACATTCCGAGCACAAGTTCAAGGGCCACAAGGCCAGTTCACATGCAAGACTATATATAGAGATATACAAGAGTCAAGCAAGCAAGAGCAAGAGTATATATAGGTCGAGGTACAAGCAAGGTCAAGAAGTGAGCAAGTGAGGCAAGACAGGCACAAGGCCCAACTGCGTGCAGCAACGCTGATGATCACAAGGCGCAAGTGCCTTGGTGAAGACATCAGCAGTGTTGGCCTCAGAGGCCACGTACGCAAGTCGCAACTGTCCACGCTGCTGTAGCTCACGAGCAAGAAAGTAGCGGAGAGCAATGTGCTTTGTCCTGTGCTCCAAACGCTGCTCTCGACACAAGGCCAGCATGGCCTTGTTGTCTACGTACAGGACTAGAGGAGAACGAGGCGGCTCTCCAAGGTCGGTCAACAGGTAAGTGAGCCAGCGTAACTCCTGTGCAGCCATAGCCCCGGCGTAGATCTCAGCCTCACAACTGAAGCCGAGAACAGAAGACGAGCGGGTAGCCCGCCACGAAACAGAGCCGGAACCAAGGCTGAAGGTGTAACCCTGTGACGACCGCTGCGTAGCCTGGTCGTCAGCCCAAGAAGCGTCCGCGTGCCCAGTGAGGACCACTGGACTGCGCCCTCCAAGCACTAGCCCCATGCCTGACGTACTGCACAAGTAGCGCAACACCCTCTTTGCTGCAGCCATGTGCTCTGGTCGGTGTCTCCCAGGAGCAACATAGCATGCGAGAATGCTAAGAGGGTATGCAAGGTCAGGTCGTGTGCAGGTCATCAGGTACATGAGGCAGCCAACAAGCTCTGCATACGGGCCACTCGACTCTACGGACTCATCCGAAGGCAGAGCTGAGAGCGAGTGGCGAGTAGACAGAGGAGTGGCCTGAGGCGAGGAGTACGTGAAGCCGAAGCGCTGAAGGACCTGCTGCACCATGTGTGACTGAGTCAGGGTAATGGTGCGGCGTGCTCTGTCTCGGGTGATCTGCAAGCCAAGGTAGCTGCGCAGTTCACCCAGGTCAGTGCACGTGTGTCTCTTCTGCAGCTCGGACTTCACGTAGGCGAGTCCAGCAGTGTCAGCTATGGCAAAGACCAAGTCGTCGACGTACACGAGGATGTAGAACGGCGGCAGAGAGGTGTCGGTGCGCAGAAACAGCGACGGGTCGGCAGTAGAAGGAGCAAACCCAAGTGCCGCCAGCGTAGTCCTCAGTGTGTCGTGCCACTCACGTGGCGCCTGGCGGAGACCGTAGACTGGACGCCGGAGACTCCACTGGGTACCAGGAGGGAAAGACCCAGTGAAGCCAGGTGGGCGACGCATCCGGATCTCCTCGTGCAGGCTGCCCTGCAAGAAAGCTGTGCTGAAGTCGAGAGAGTGCAGCTCGTAGTCACGGTGAGCAGCAACGTGCAGCAGTACCCGAAGAGTGGTCATCTTCGGGGTGGGGGAGAAGGTCTGAAAGTAGTCAACCCCCTGCCGCTGACTGAAACCACGAGCCACGTAACGCGCCTTGAAGACAGGCGGAGAACCCGGCGGCCGCTTCACCCTGAAAATCCACATGCCACTGACGATGTTCGCCCCAGGAGGGGGAACAGCGTCGACGTAGGTGCCTGTGGACTTCCAGGAAGCCATCTCTGCATCCATAGCTGCCTGCCACTGAGAGGAGTAGGGACCCTCTATCGCCTCCGCGTAAGAGCGCGGAGTCGGGATGTCTAGTGCATCCGGGTCTCCCTCAGGGGCTAGCAGTACAGACGCGAGATGAGGTGAAGCGGCGGCCAGACACTGGAACTCCTCCTTGCCTGTCCTCAAGGACGTCCGTGCCAAGGGCACACTCACCCCCGACGGACGGAGGACAGGCAGACTCAGACTCAGCGACAAGACTAGCAGCGTAGTCTAGACGACAGCGCGCAGAAAAGTCGACGAGCTCAGTGACAAGGGCAGACGCAGCAGAAGACTCGAAAGAAGGGTCAGTGACAGCAGTAGCAAGGAGACGCGTGACAGTAGGACTGGCAGCACGAAGAGAGTCCGACTCCGGGTCGGCAAGAGCAGGAAGAGAGGAAGCAGGAGGAGAAGGCAAAGGGGCACGCAGAGGAGCAGTAGACGGACGCAGAGACATCCGGTGCGTGCCAGGGACAGGAGGAGGACGCTGACGTGAACCGCGACCACTAGCGCGCGCAGTACGAACAGGCGACGCAGGACGAGACGCAGGCTCACGACGCTCAGTAAGACCTCCAGTCGGACCAGCGTAGGGAGAAGGAGCAGGCAAAGGTGAGGCAGGCTGTAGCTGTGACTGGGACGAGACAAGCTGTGGACCCTCTAAGGGAGGAGGAGGAGGACCAGGAGAAGGTGTAAGACCAAGAACCTGCTGCAGGAGCGGAACGAAGTACGGCCAGGGCCGCGCGGCGACGTCAGAAACAGCTGGGACAGCACCAGAACCCCCAGCAGGAGTACCCGCTCCAGCAGCACCTCCAGTAGCTCCAGAACCTCCAGCAGCACCAGCAGGAGTACCGCCAGTCGGACCTCCAGCGGCAGTCTCAGCGCCAACACCCTCAGCAGCACCAGCTCCAGAAGAACCCTCAGACCCAGCAGCTCTTGCACCCACAGTACGAGCACCTTCGGGACGCTCGGCAGCAGTACCATCTGTAGTCGAAGAACCTCCAGTACCAGCAGCACGCCTCCAGCGCCTGGCAAACCACTCACGTAGCTCCTGTGGGGAGAGTGGCTCTCGGCGAGACGAAGCACCTCCAGGCGGAGCACCCCCAGTCTCAGCACCCCAAGGCTCAGCACCCCCAGGCTCAGCACCCCCAGGCTCAGCACCCCCAGGCTCAGCACCCCCAGGCTCAGCACCCCCAGGCTCAGCACCCCCGGCTCAGCACCTCCAGACTCCGCACCCCCAGACTCCGCACCCCCAGGCTCAGTACCCTCAGGCGTAGCACCTCCAGTCTCAGCACCCCCAGGCTCAGCTCCCGCAGCAGCACCAGAGTCCCCAGTGACCTCGACAGGCTCGATCGCGTCTACCTGGGACACACCTGAAGGGGCAGGACCCTGAGGGGGGAGGGGGTCTACCGGGGGGGGACCTGGTACCAAGAAGAGTGGGGGCGGGGGGAGGGACGGAGTGCGGTAGGGGAAGAGGCGGTAGTAGGGTACCGACTCGTCGAACGTGACGTCCTGGGAGGACAGAACACGTCGAGAGGTGGGGTGGTAGAACTGCCACCTAGGGGCGTCGGGGGGGAACCCCAGGAAGACGCAGGGAGCAGCGCGAGGGGACAGCTTGTCCGCAGACAAGTCGCGGACAAACGCCCGAGATCCCCAGACCCGGAACGCCGACGCATCGCCAACCTTCCCCGTCCACAGCAGCGCTTGGGAGGTCTCCGGCCTGGAGACCCTGGGGTGGAGGTCGATCTGATGCGCTGCGTACCTGACCGCAAACGGCCACAGAAAATGGGGGGCAGCCGCATGCATCATGGACGTACGAGCGACGTCCATGACCATGCCAATGCGGCGCTCAGCAATCCCATTTTGCTGCGGGGAGTCCGGAAGCGTGAAGGTCTGGCGGATGCCTCGCGCACGACAGTAGGCACGCAGAAGGCCAGAGGAGAACTCTCCGCCTCTGTCCGAGTGCAGACGCAACACAGGAAAGTCCGAGCCAAAGCTCTGCCTGAGCTGGAGACGAGCTGCGCGGATCCAGTCGATCAGCACCTCAGTAACCTCACCCTTGCTGCGCAAGGGGAAGACTGTGGTGTAACGCGAGTAGTCGTCAACCACCAACAGGAAGTAGCGCTCGTGACCGAGTCCACGGACGCGGGCAGGGTCCCACACGTCCATGTGAAGCGTCTGCAACGGAGCCTCTGTCGGAGGAAACTGGGAGGAGTGAGGGGCAGCACGCTGGCGCCCCTCGACACAGGGGACACAGGCAGGGCCAGGGCCCTGAGGAAGGGGAGGTAGAGACCGGGGGAGACCAGACACAAGAAGACGGGAGGCCATGCCTCTGAGCCGAAGCAGAGAGGGGTGGCCAAGGCGGTGGTGCCAGAGGAGGGTCTCGTGAGACAGACGGCGACACGAACAGGGGGCAGACTCAGGACCAGACCTCGACGCTACAGCAAACACCTGACTTGACGAAGGGACTCTACCAGACTCAGCACCTGGAGGAGAAGCAGTGGTCAGCGTGTACAGGCTCGACCCTGGCTGACGTGT